AAGCCTCTGACACCATTTCTCAAGCCCGGCCCCAGCAGAGCAGAACAGCACAAAGAAAAGGGACACTTGAGAGACAACCCACGAGCAGCTGAGAACCTCTGACCTTTTCCAGCAGAAACGGGAGGTGGTTTGGAAAAGAAGGTGCAGAAGGTGCCAGTCCCCCTCGGAGAGACAGAGACCTGGTCACCCTGGCAGGGCAGGCACAGCCCCAGGGAACAGAGCCCTGCCGTGAGAGGAGGCAGAAGCAAACACACTGGGATTTTTTGGGTTTTTTTTTCAGCTGTGTGGTCCCATGCGCGAAGACAGCACAAGGACCGGTCTGTGTGCCCCTCCCGACACGGGGCTCTGCCCCTGCTCACAGCACTTCCACGCTTGGCGAGCTCCCCACCTGTGCTCTGCCAGCGGGCGACGAGGGGGTTGGAGCGCAGGAACAGCATCGCTTTTCATTTGCATCAGCAAGAGGAAGAAGAGCAGCAGCAACATCAGCGCCAGGCTCCGGTGGCTTCCCCGCGGTGGCTGGGGGGAGGGAGGTGTCCTCAGAGGTGTTGTTGTGTTTCTCAATGCGCCTCTTTCTATCCAAATGTACTCCCTGGAGACTCAGAGCAAGCACAAATAGATCCTGCTGGGGCGGGGCGGGGTGTCCCCAGGGGCTCGGGGAGCTCCATCCCAGCAGGATGCAGCAGGAAATACTTGTACTGCTTGGAGGCATTAAGACCAGGCAGAACACAACACTTTAAGAGGGGAAATCTTGAATTGTGTCTGCTGATACAGAGCTGGACATCCCCTTTTTGCTCCTAATTCTGTTCCCAGACCCATTTGGGATGCAGAAGGATTGAGCCCTGAACCCCTTCTCCACCTGACAGTGTGATCAGAAGATTGCACTCCCTCCCGACTCATGAAGCCCAAATATTATTCCTTTCCATCTGGGTCAGACACTGAGAGGCCACTGAACACAACCCTGAACAGATGTTTGAAGTGCAGAAGGGCCGTGATGTGGTGAGGGACAGGCTGTGTGCACACAAGAAGGATGTGGGATGAACTGTTGATGCTGAGAGCTGGCTGACCACTCTCTGGCATGGCTCCTGTGCTCAGCTGGTGCTCTCCAGCTCCATCCAGACTCCATCAGTTATCCCACGGGAAGACGAGGATGGGGTTTGGTCCTGTTTTTGTATACCTTTCTGTTTGTATATCCTCCTGTTTGTATATCCTCCTGTTTGTATATCCTCCTGTTTGTATATCTTCCTGTTTGTACATCCTCTCTCCAGGGAATTTCAGCTGGTCTGGCTTTGCTCTGGTCTGAATTTGGGCTTGTCCATCTTTGAGGTCATCCTGGGAGAGCATCACTCAACCAGGGCTGCACAGACACCCTCGGGAAGGAAAAGCTCAGGTTGCAGAGGAAATTTTAGCCACAGTCTTTGTGTTGAAAGCGCTTTGCTCCCTCTCAAAGGTAAGTCCTGAGTCCTGGTGTGAGGAGGAGAAGGGAATTTGCACATCAAGGTCTTCCCATCAGAGAAGGCTCCTCCAGCCCCGAGGCCGGACTGTCACTGCCTGTTTGCCCCCTCCAACACACCAAAGGACATTTTAAAGCAATTTCTCCTGCACAAATAAATACAAACCCAAACCGCTATTTCTCCTGGTTCCTTCCCTTTCCCCTTTCATCCCTGTGACATCTTCCTCCAGTAAATCCTTCCCTTACATCTCATTAGAGGCTGCTCCTGGACAATTTGCAGCTGTGACAGCCCTGGAGATGCCTGGGGCCTGTCTGCCTGGCTGACAGCTCACATACGCACCCGCACTTTGCTGTGCCTGCGCCACCGAATGGTTTCATGGCTGGGCTGCCCCGGCCACGGCCGTCTCCTAACTTCCTTTCCAGGCTTTTCCTCGGGTGCTGGACAAACCCCTTCACCTCCCTGCTTTCCCCCCTAACACGCTCCCCTCTCCTCACCGTGGCTTTGCAAACCCACAGCATTAGAATTTTGCATGAAAATCAGCAAGAGCATCGCGGTCTGCGCTCCCCGGATTAACCACCCGCCTGCCCCGGGACGCGGCGAGGTTGGAGGCGATGAAATCAAAAATAACCGGCTGTGCCGGGAGGCGCGGGTGGCGGAGGGCGCTGCCGGAGCTGGCACCGCTCGGATGCCGGATGCCTCCGGGCACAGGATTTCAAGGGCACGTCACGCTCCAGCCGGGCGGCTGCCAGCAACCCTCCCCAGCACTGGCTGAGCCACTCGCTCGACTCCTTCCAGCGATTTTTTAATTTTTTTTTTTTTTTTTAAGGCAGCTAATAGCTCCGAGGGAGTCCCGGAGTAATGAGAATTGGCAGGAGCGAGCAGATATTAGGTTTATTCACCACCAGTTTTAAATCATTTAGCACAGCGGAAAGGCCGTGGTTCTACAGGCAACGTGTTCTGCTTTGCTCGCGTCGTGGTTCCTATCTGAAAGGGGTTAGTGGTGAGTGGGGACAGGGCTGTCCGCGGGGGGAGCGGTGCCGCCCTGCTCCGCCTCCCGGATGGGACAGGGACGAGCGGGGCCAGAAACTGGGGACCAGGATTTGAGCCGGAGCTCATCCCCGTTTACAGGAGCTCACACAGGCTGCAGACCGGGACTCGTAAAGAGTTTTTGTCCCACTGAAGGCAGCCTGTGGCTTCGGCTTAGAAATCAAGCCTTAAAAAGGCAATCTGGGGAGCTGGCCCAGGGATGCTCTTTGTGCAGCAGAACACGGTTCCTTGGGGATTGCTGAGAAAAGTCGCGGGAGAAGTTAAACTTTCACCCCGGCAATTATTGTAAATCTCTTCGGTCAAGGCCCAGACCTAAAATTAGCCCGCGAGCCCTTTTAAAGGTTGGGATTTTTTCCCTTGATTTTTCCAAGTGACCAACCAGCAGCAGAGCAAACTGTGCCCTTCCACACTCGGAGCCCTGGGGTGTTTTTTAATTGCAGCCCCGGTGCTTGATGGAAGCAAGGCCAGGCCTTCCAGCCTTGTTTTACACATCCTGAAACAAGCAGCATCCCAGGGAGGAAAGGCAGGAGAGAGCCTGTTACGTACCAAAGCCTTTGCAATCACAAAGCATTTATCCTGCTTCATGGAAGGAATCCCAGCATCCCAGCCCTTCCCTGGGCTCCTGGTACGTTTTGTGTAGTAAGATCTGGGAGTTTAGGAAAAGCTGGGTTTTCTGCTGCTTGTATGGGAGCAGCCGGATCCTCTGTCTGGCCTTTTCCCTTGGAGGGGGTCTGGGTGGTCCCATGGCACGGTCTGGGCACGGCATCAGCCGGGAACGCCGGACCCACTCCGTGCAGCTCCCAGCCCTGCTGCCAATCGATAGCGAGTGCAATGAAACCCTTAATGAAATTCCAGCCTAAGAGACTATTGATTGTGTGTTTTCTTTAAAAATGTATATGAATGGGAGAGAGGCTTTTTGGAGCAGAGGCCAGGGAGAGAAGGGGGAGTGGAAACACATTGTCAGCCGCCGTGGGAGGTGGGTGATCCAGGGTCACCTGCACTGAGCAGTGGGATCCAGCCCCTCTGTGACCATCAATTCATCCCCAGAACACCCCCAGGAAGGGACACATTTAATGGTTTGGGTTGGAAGAGACCTTAAAGATCATCTCATTTTAATCCCCCTGCCATTTCAAGCCCCCAGCCTGGGCTTGAAAACGTGACCAGCCTGAAGCAGGGGTGGGCATCCACCCAAAATCATCACAAAACAGCCATGATGGAGAGAAGGCGAGAGTCTGTGCCCTGGTTGTGCCTCCTTGGCAATGCCCTCCCTCAGCCCATGTTTCCCACTGCTGCCAAAAACACAGCCAAACAAAAACTGGTTTTGGAAGATGCTGCTTTGGGGGAAGAAAAAGCAAATGAGGAATCACTGTGCACCAGTCCTACAATCAACCTCCCTCCTTCCCACCTCCTCTGAGCTCCCCCAAACCAGCCTCTCCCCAAATCTCCCCAGATTACACCTGGCAGAGTAAGGGGATGGCAAGGAAGCATAATAAATAAATAATAATAATGACAAAAATCCACCCCCCTCTCCACCCCTTACATAACCAGCATTGTCTTAATCCTACAGGTGCTTTGCAGAAGTAAAAAGGATTTGTTCCTTCTGCAAATCCTTTTTTTTCCTCCTTTTTCTTTCTTCTTTTTTTTTTTTTTTTTTGGTGACTCATCCTTATCCACCCGTGGACACACCACAGGGAGGCTGGGGGCAGCTGTGCAGGGTCTGGGAGGCTGTGTAACCCCTCACTACATCCCTTAAACCTCTCTGGGGTTCAGCTCCCCTGTCCTGGGGTTCTCTCTGTCCTGAATCCTCTGGCAGGAGAAGGTGTTCAGAGATGAGCCCCCAAAATCCAGCAGGACAGGAAAGGTGGGCTCTGGGGCTGGACCCCAAACATCCCCCTGGAGCCCACTCCAGTCACACTGCGCTGCCTTGTGACCCCTGGGAACGTGGGAGTGCGGGGGGGGGGTCACCCCAAATCCCCTCTCCTGTGCAGCCTAACGATGAGTATTGGGCTGGTAGATGGGGTGAGAAAAGGCTGCCCCCCCTTCTCAAGGCACGGGGATGCCCTGCCAGGATTTGCGAGTCTTGGGGTGTCCCCTGAAGGTTTGATGATCTGGGGATTTGGAGCTTCCCCCAAGCATTTGGGGTGGTGCCCAAGGATTTCAGGTGTCCCCGGGGGATTTGGGTGCCTATCCGAGGATTTAGGACCCCCTTTGAAGATCTGGGGTTCCCCCTGGGGTTTGGGGCGCCACCCGAGGACTGGGGGTGCCCGTGCGAGGATTTGGGGGAGGCATCCGAGGATTTGCGGCGCCACCGACATTTGGGGCGCCCCCACTGGCACGGCCTCCACCGCAGCCCACGTGCTGGGTGGGGGTGGGTGCCCCCGGCCCCGGGGGTCCCCCAGCGCGGTGCGCTGCGGATCGCGGGGGGGCGGCGGGCGCGGGCAGGGCCCTTTAAGGCGGCGGGGGCGGGGTGGGCGGTGCGGGAGGCGGCGCTGCCGGCAGGGCGGGGGCGGCCGGGCCGGGCCGGGCCGGGCAGAGCCGAGCCAAGCCGAGCTGAGCCGCGCCGGAGCAGCGAGCCGGGCCGGGTGAGCGCATCCTCCGGTACCGGCGCCGGGGGGCGGTGGCGGAGGGGCGGGGGAGGGAGGAGGGCTCTTGTTTTCCCGGTTATCCCCCGCCGCCGTTCAGGAGCGGACCCCCTACTCGGGGAGGGTCCTGCGTCCCGCCCCCTCTTCCCCCGCCGCTGCGGCGCGGTTGGAGCCAGGAGGGTCCCCGAGCCGCCCCTCCCTCGCCGCCGCCGGGCCAGGGGCTGCCGCCGCTCCCACCCCGCCGCGGCTGGGTCATTCCTCCCCTCCCGGTGAGCATCGGGCCCGGCGGGGGCGGGAGGGAGGGCAGGGGGCGGTGATGGGGCAGACCCGGCCGTGCCCGGCTCGGCCCGGTGCGCCCGGGGATGGGGAGCTGCCCCAGGGATGGGGGCTGCACGGGGAGAGGAGGGACTGCCCCGGGAATGCAGGGCTGCGCCAAGGGGGTTGGGCTCCCCGGTGATGGGGCTGCCCCTGGAGAGGGGGTTCTGCCCCGGGGATGGGGGGCTGCACCGCGGGGATGGGCTCCCCCGGCCGTGGGGGCTGCCCCGGGGGGATGAGGGGCAGCGCTGGGGGGCGGCAGCCCCGGAGCTGGGGGCGCGGGCAGCGCGCAGCACCCTGCGTGGATGCTCAGTGATTTTCGATCATTGTTGTCTGCCTGGGTTTGCGAGAGGGTTGCAGGCAGCTCTTGGGGGGGGGGGGTCACCACCTGGTCCACTCGAATCCTCCAGCGGCCGGTGCTTCCCGTCCCTGTGGGGCCCTGGGGACCCCCGTGGGGCTCCTTCGGCTCCCGAGCTTCCTCCAGCCCCGCTCTGCTGAGCCTGGGCAGCACCACGGGAAGGCCCTTGGGAAGCCGAGGGACCTTCTCCCTGGCCCTTCTGTTTATTTCTGGTTTTGGTGGAGTCAGGCTGGAGCCCAACAGACTGTTGCTCAGGGGTGAGATGTGCCTGATACTGCTTTCACTCCAGGGCCTGACAGCCTAAACCTTTGCCTTCCAGGTCCCTCTGAGTCGCTCTGGTCCCTCATTCCAGCGTGGAAATCGATGAGTTGAAGTTATGCATTTGACCTGGAAGAGCCACGCTGCTGGCACTTTGGGGACCCTGTGAACCAGAACGGGAGAGGAGGTAAAACATCTCTGTCCACGCAGCACTCTGCCCAAAATCCCCAGGAGGCCCTGCTGATTTGTCTTTCAGTGGATGAGGAGCAGCTGAGGAGGGGGGGCTCAGCCTGGAGAAAAGGAGGCTCAAGGGGGGACTTGCTCACCCTCTACAACCCCCTGACAGCAGAGTGGAGCCAGGTGGGGTTGGTCTCTCCTCCCAGGCCTCAAGCGGTGCCAGGGCCTATTAAGGGGATATTGGATATTAAGGGAAATGTCTTCACTGATAGAGTTGTCAGACACTGGAACAGCCTGTCCAGGGCAGTGGTGGAATCAGCATCGCTGGAGGGATTTAACAGACATGTAGATGTGGCACTTGGGGACATGATTTAATGGTGGCCTTGGCAGTGCTGGAGGAACGGTTGGACTCGATGATCTTGGATGTCTCTTCCAACCTAAACAATTCTGTGATTACTCAGAACTCCCCTCCGCAGGGATTTTTAGAAAGGCATCTGGGGATGCCTTTCTAAATAGGGATCATACTCCTAAACCCCACAGGCTCTTCCAAAATTCTCAGCCCCCTTTCCCTGAGGCCCTTGGCCGTCGTGTTTGTACAGACAGGTGGGTGTGTGCTGCCAGGGGATCTGCTTAGATGGGATAGCAAGTCCTCTTGGACCTTCCCTCTGTGTCCTTCAGTGGTGTTTCCCAGTGTCTTGCCATCATTGTGATGCTGCAGTGCATTCCAGGGCCACTGCTGAATAACTGGTTTCTAAAAAAGTTGGATAATTCTCGTGGAGATGCTCCAGCCTGTTGACACGTGCTTGGGAAGGGCATGGGATTGCCTGCCCTGTCTGGTTTCTCACCCAGCACAAGGAGACCATTCCTCTGTGCCATAGAAGGGGATGAGTCAGCCCTGGGGGCTGCAGGATGGAGCTCCCCTGTCCTGCTCTGGGTGAGGGTTTAGGGTTAAAATCACCACCTTCCTCAAGTGTGAGACCCTCAGTTGGCTCAGGGCTGCAGTGGCTGCTTGACTGCAGGGCTGCCTCTTTTGGTTGGGCCATCAGGTCTGTTCCCTCTTCTGCTGGACTGTGAGCACATCTCATACACCCTTGTGGCTGGGTGGTCTTGTCCTTCCTCCTTGGAGGGAAATCACCCGTCTCTTCGAGATGAGGATGTTGCTGGCTTATGCCTTTCCTCTTCCTCCTCCTCCTCCTCTTCTTCCTCTCCCCAGAAGCCAGATGATGGTTGCACATCTGCTGGCCCTGCTGACTCAGGCTGGCCGGGGTGCCCCAGGGCAGTGCTCCCAGCCCCAGGCCAGCGGAGCCGCTCCTGGCAGCGCTCCCCTCCCGGCGCACCCGCCCCTGGGTGCCCTCGCCTGACCTCGGCTGCCTTCCCTGCCCGGGGATGCCAGTGAGGTGGTGGGATAAGGGTTGGAGACTGGTGCCTGGCTCGGTGCTCCACTTCCCCGTGGAGGCTGGCAAAGGGAACCTGGGCAGCGCGGGGAGCACGTGGTGCGCTCCCAGGAATTACAGACCTGAATCCCAGCTGGCTCCGTTGCAGCGGAGAGGAGGAGAGGTCATCCCTGAAGGGAAAACTGCAGCCCATACCTGATTTTTGTTAAAAAGAAAGCCAGAAGGTCTTGGAGAATCCCCTTGCTGGGGGAGCACCCTCACTGCTGGTGCAGGGTCTGGGATGAGACTCAAGCCACACAGGTCGTGCTATGCTTTGGAGCTGGGGGGACAGGAATGGGACCCAGTGTGCCTCAGGATGATGGGAGCTGGTTTATGCCCTGCCTCCAGTGGGTCCTGGTGGCATTTGTCAGCCCAAGACCCTGGGGCAGGAGATGGGCAGCGATGGCATTGCAGAACCCTGGGAAAAGGGATGGTGGAGAAATTGGACACAGCCTGTGAGTCCCTCTGGTGTGGTTGTGGCCATGATGGGTACGAAGCTCTGCCTGCCCAGGAGCATCCCTGCACAGCAAAAGGAAAAGGGATATTTGAGGTTGGATCTCCAGCCAGGGTTGGCAGCCGTAACAGGGTGTTTTGGCATCATCTGGTTGAGGGGGGGGTTCAAAGCCCACTGGAATTTTTATTTTGCTTAATACACCACTTAAGCAATTAGCAGTGATTGTAGCAGTCCTGGGTGAGGCGCTGGGAAGAATTGAATTTCCCAAGCTCAGATACCATTAGGCAGCAGTTTAAGGCTGTTTGCAGGCGGGTATGAGACAGTGATGCGTGTGGGGAATTAGATCTGCAACGCACAAAAACATAATAAGGAAATTTCCTACAGAACTGTGTAACTTTATCTCGTGTTTATTATGTGCCTTAATTGAAAAACAATCTTAGGGGGTTCTCTGCCATAACAGTGGGGGATCCCCAGTGATGGTTGTGCTGTATCCATCAGGATGTGCTTTCCTGGGCATCCTGCACCACTGACCCACACAAAAACACCCGAGGAGCCCCTCCACGGCATAACGGTCCACAGGGCAAGAGGAATCCCTTTGAAGAGTTTGCCTTTGCTTTGTGAAGTGCAGTTGGGTTGATGTTGTGGGGCTTTTTCTTTGAATCCCCTGAGTTTCAGGTGCATCCAGCGGTGGAGAGTGGGCAGATAAATCTCCCGTTGTTTGGCATTTCTGAGTCCAGGAAGGGTCTGCCCCGGGTACCAGGTCAGTGGTTAATGTGTAACAGGTGTGCAGGACACTCTGCACCCACAGCCTGGAGGTGGGTGGGTGTGCAAATAATTTTCCAAGGATGGGAAGGCGAGAGGAGGAGGAGGAGGGTTTTGTTGTGGGCTGAGGGGCGGAAGGAAATCGAGGCTTAGCGAGGGAAATGTGAGATTGCTTGGTTGGGGACAGGGCTTCGGCCACTCCTCGGGGGAGGCTCTGCTATTGTGGTAGTTAAAAATAGACTTTGGACTGGTTAGTTTTCTGTGGGAAGTCTCTCCAGCCAGAGATAGGCACGTGAGGTGGCATCCAAGTGAGAGGGAATGGACAACAGCCTCTGACTCCTTTACCTAAAGCTCTGTTTTTATATTTTTTTTAATATCTTTTCTTTTGGGGCATTGAGGAGAGGCCTTTGCTTTATTCCCAGACACAGCTGCCTCCAAGGCCCAAGGTTCATCCATGATGCCCAGCTGTACCAAAGTTTTGCTCAGCATCATGTCACTGCACCCTGGGGACCCCCTCCCCATGGCTGACGTGTCCCTCGGGTCCCACACCAGTGTACCCAGTGGGCTGAGTGGTTTGGGTGATGCTCCAGCCCCGTGCATGGGCTGGCAGCGTGGTTCCCTGCAAGCTGGATGGAATTACTCAGGGAAGAGATTATCTTATAAGATCCAGTGGATCTTATCTATTACCTTGTCTTTATTTTCCAGCAGCTGTCAGCATAGGAGGTATAACGTACACTGGGGGGAGGGGGGAGCATTTTGGAGGGGAGGGATAGGAACAACCCTGTGATATGGTTAGAATAGTGGGAAATGGAGAAAATCTCAGGTTTTACTGGAGGAACTGTCATGGGCCCATTTGCTTATTGGCAGGAATGTTGGGGGTGACATCGGGATGCAGAACTGGGGGATGTCACACAGCACTGTGGGGAGACCACCATGTGTGCAAGAGCAGGAAAAAGGGTCATTTCTTGCCTGTTTTCTCTTTGGAAGATGTGTCCCTTCAGCACCTGCACCCCAAAACCCTGCCCTGGCCATCCAGCATTCCTGGGTGCTTTGGGACATCTGTTTTGAGGGCTGGTCTGGCTGATACTGCAACCAGAGAGATCCCTCATTGGGAAGCAGAAAAAGCCCTGAAACCTTTTCACTCCAGAAGAATATTTTCTAGGCTGCAAGTGTCAGGTAGACCCTGAAGTGCATCTGGAGTGCAGGGAGCCAAAGCATGCACTTACTGAGAGATTGGTTCAAGGCAGGTGGTTTGACCATAAAATTTGAGGCTGAAATGCTGTTTGATTAATATTTCAGTGGCAAGGACAGTAAATGAGAGGAACGAAGATTGTTTCCATTTCTATCTGGTTCAGGCAGCCAGTCTGATTTAAGACCAAAATAGTATAAATAGTCCTTGGAGCAATGGGGAGTATGGAGAGAAATCAGCTTCTCCCACCCCAGGGCTGTGGTGGGCATGGTCAGAGGTCTGGGGGGATGTGAAACACACAAGGGCAGGTAACTTCTGCTTCTGCTGCCCTATGGCTTTTTCTTCCTCAGCTCAGCCTCTGCATGCCCTTGAAGCTCTGATGGGTCTTGAGGGGCTGGGGAGGGTCCTCCAGGTGGCAGAGGAACACCCTGGAAGGAGGTTGCTTGGTCTCTGCGTGGTTCAGGTCTGCTGTGGAATGGGCGGACATCGTCTCTGTGGCCGATGCATCCCTCATCCCGCTGTGCTTGCACAGGGATGATGCCCCACTGTCCCCTAAGGGCAGTCCCCATCCCGGTTGTAGCTGTTTTCCCGTGTGCCTGGGGCAGGCAGTGCCTTGGAGCCATACAGGCAGGCTCCAGACTCCCTCCTGAGCTGCCGGGGGGGCTGCCTGTGTGCCGGGAGCTGCCTGCCTGCCAGGATCACCTCGCACCGGGGGGGCCGGGACGGATCGCCTTGCTCGTGACTCGGGGATCTCCTCTGGCATGGCACGCTTAGGTCAGGCGCTTTTCTTGGGGGAGCAGGTGCCTGGGTTTCCTCATGTCATTCCAGAGGGATCAGGATCACCAGCTGGGGCTTTGAGTGGCATCGATCTTGCTGGAAACCGATCTTGCTGGAAACCGATCTTCCTGGAAGCCAAGCAGCTTTCTGGACCAGGGCTGGGGACCACCTTCCCAAGGAGCCAGGGCTTTGCTGCACACTCTCCCATGTAGGCTTTTCCTTCCTCCCCCGTCGTTCCTGGTTTTGCCCCGGGGAGCTCTCCCACACGGATGGAGGTGGAGGGATGCAGGCAGGGATGGAGGGACTCAGACTTTGCCACCCACAACCTCCACCAGACAGTATTTTTGCCCACTGAAGATCACTTTGTCCCAGCCTGGCGGCGCTGGCCGGAAGGGAAACATCTCTTTATTAGGGATGTTTCCTTAAATAAAGCCATCAGAGCCAGTGCTGGGCTGGCTGTGCTGCCCATCCCATGACCGGTGTTGCGCATTCGGGTTATTAACACCTCATTAGATGTTGGTTCCTCCCCACGCCTCTGGTTCAGCAAATCCCAGTGGCTTTGTTGTTGCTCCCTGACTCCTGCTGCACCGGGGAGTTGTTTTTTTACGGTCTCCTGCGCTTCTGCTGACAGTTTAAATTTCATTTCTTCTTGAGGCCAGTAGCTTTACTTTGACTTTCAGATCATTCTATTTGCACCCTCCCAGAGCAGGGGATGCCTCAGCACACCTTGTTGGGAGAGACTGTCCTAACATCACTGCCGGGGACTGGCTCTCACCTGCCATCCCAACCTGGGTTTCCATTTGGCCTATCCCCAGAAAGTCCTTATTTTTTCCTTCTTTTTTTAAACCTTTACTCACTTTCCCAAGTGAGAGCAACAGCAGGCAGAGCACTGCCCTGGGAGGAGTTGGGGGGCTCGTGCAGGTGGGTTAGGAGCCCATCACCAGCCTGATGCCGTGATTGCCCCTCCATGGCTTCCCTATGACAACAAACCACCTCGTTTTATATATCTGTGTGTTTTGTGTCACCCAGGCCAGGGACTCGAGGCTGCGGCCCCTGAGCCAGTTCTGGAGTGGGCTGATGGCACCTCTCAAGGGATCTGGCTCCTTAGCAAAGTGCCCAGAGCACCCTGCAGCCCTTGGTAAGCCGGGCTGGCAGTGGATGGCCCTTCCCCTCCAAAAAGCAATCGCAGGTTTGCTGCTTATTTTCATCTTGAGCTTATTTTCGTCTCCGCTTCCACCGCTCTGCCCGGGGATGCTGTCTGTGGCATGATAAGTTATTTCAAGAAGTGGGGCAGAGCTGTTGGTATGGAGGGGAGTGAAGGCATCCAGATTAAAGGTAAATCTACACAGATAATTGGGAGCCTGCTTCCTGCAGGAACCAGGTGAACAATGAACCAGGGGCGGGGATGGCTCTGTGGCCCTGGGGGGCTGCCTTCAGCCACCCCACCCCAGCCCCTGCTGTTGGGCCCTGGCTGGGGGCTCATGGACGAGCTCCAGTCGGGGGGGCTGGATACATGGCACAGGGTTAGTAATCCCCGCCTCCTCAGACCTGCCAGATGTCTCTCCTCTAGCCTTCATTTTTATAAATTGGCCTTTTAAAGTCTGTCATCCCCATGCAGATGAAAGGAAGATGCTGTGATGCCTCTGCGTGTGCGTCTCCGAGCCTGAGCCCGGCTGCAGTGCCTGGATCTCGGGGCTTTTTGTTTGGGGCTTTATCTTTTTTGAAGTGCCTTTTTTTTTATCTTCATCTTTTTTTTTTTCTTTTTTTCCCCCTTAACATCTCAGAGTCTGTTGTATCTTGGCTTGCCATCCCTTGATTTCGGGCAGGCAGGCCCCGCTCTGAGCACCTCCTGGAGAGAGGGATAGGGAGAAGTGTTCTTGCCCCATCTGTGGGGGTTAAACCAGCAAAGCCCTGGGGCTCGACACCCAGGGCAGATGCAATTAAACCCATCACTGTGGGGCTTTCTCTCCCCCTCCCAAGCCCCTTTCTCCTCTTTTCGCTCTGCACCCTTTCCCCCTTCCTCACTCTTGCTGTGACTACTTGGATTGGCAGCAGGAGACTCCTTTTCATCTCCCTTTTCTCCCTGAGCCCAAATACTCCTGGCCCGTGGCTTGGTGCCAGGGCAGCTCCTGGGGGCTGTGGCAGAGCTGGGGCTGTGAATTTTCCATTCAAAGGGCAGTAGCTGCTGCCACAAGCCAAATCTTTGAATCTTCTGCTTGGTGATGGATGGATAATTAGGAATTTCATTTGCTGGGCGGGTAACAAACAGCTTTGCATTTTCTGTTACTTTCCTGTTGTCTCTTGGGGAAATTCAGACACTGCTCCTAAACTGCAGGGATGGGGTTTTTCCCAGCTGGCATGGCTCCCTGCTCAGGTCTCCAGGAAAGCCCTGTGATGCTGCAGAGAGCCTTGCCAGGGATTTCTGCAGGGGCTGGGGCTCTGCTGGAGACTGGTGATGGTGTTGTGGGATGTGAGGGGCTGGTGCAGGTCCTCACTGCCTCCTTGGCACAGCCAGGGCACCAGGCAGCATCCTTGTCTTAAAGGTGGGAAGATGCTACATGCATCATGTTTCTATTGAGGTTTTTTGTTGCCTGTGTGGGTTTCTCCTCGTTTGAGGGGATGGAGAGCCACTTCCTGGGATGGAGGTGCTCCTGGAGAGCTCAGATGTTTTGTGCTGGTAGGTCAGGTGGTGCCTCATCTCCGTAGGGATGTGCTGGGGAAATGGCAACCGGTTCCTGGCCACAGCTGCTGCTCTGTATCGCAGCCTTCAGGCCTTGGTCCTGCCTGGCTCTGGTGACTGACGTGGTTGGGGTCTGGAGGATGAGGAGCAGGTTATCCCAGTCCCCAGTGCCCGCCCTGATCCCGTGGCTTGTGCAGTTCATCCGAGCAGTAATTAATTATTGGCCGTGTAAGCTGCTGGCGGGATCCTGCGCGTGATTTATTAGCAGGAGTAATCCCTCAGCAGCAAAAGAGCTGCTCTGTGAATGGAGAACAGCAAAATCCAGGGAAAGAGCTGCTCTGTGAATGGAGAACAGCAAAACCCAGGGGGGCTGTCCTGTTCTCCTGAACTGGATCCCCCAGGCACAGTCCCTGCCTGCAGCATGGCAGCTGCAGGCACCCCTGGGCTCTGTATTTGAGCCAGCTGAGGTGGGTTTGCCAAACTGCTGCCCTCAGGGGGGAAGGAGGGTGTCTGGACATGTGGACCTTGTGTTTTGGGACGTGGGCTGAGCAGTGCCCCACTTGCTCACTGGCCAAGGCTCACTGTCACCAGTAGACCACAAGCAGTCTCAGCACTAGGAGATGATTTTCAAGATGCATTTGCTGCCAGGGTCTCCCTGGGGAGGCCATTCACACTACCCAAAGCCTGGTAGATATTTGGGAAGTGCAGCATAAGCACCAAGCCAGCCTGCGCACATGCCCTGCCCGGCCTGTGGCTGCTGGGAGAGGGATCAGTGTGGAGACTGGGCAAAGTGATGCTTCTCCCTTGGGCACCTGGGTCTGGTCTGCAGCTCCCATTGACTTTTGGTGTGCTCCTGCATCTGGCTTTTGTTTTCTTTTCCCCCTGTACCCCATCTACTCATTGGCCTCTGTCAAGGACCTGTCCCAGGTTATCCATTACCCCACAATGCTCCAGTGGCAAAGGATCAGGGCAGAAATAGAGAATGGAGAATGAGAAGGACCAGCTGCTGGGTGCAGAGGGGGGAGGGTGCTGCCCTGTGTGGGCACTCCTGGTGCTTGCTCACCCCATGGAGAGCTGTGCCATGCCCAGGCAGGCACACAGCGAGAGAAATCCTGAAGACGAATCCCCCCAGGCTCCTCCGCTCGGGGACTCCTTAGCGGTTTTATGATAAATCAATAACGCTTTTGCATGGTCATAATCGTAAAATAAGTACAATTTATGGCTGCTGCTGGGGCCAAGATTTTTTTCTAGTGTATGAGGTAGAGAGAGAGCGACACACAGACAGTTGTCCACAGTGTCTTCCTTTGCACCGAGCTGCAGACTGGCTCCTGGAGACCCCCGTGGGGGAGGAGGGGCAGGGTGGGTTGCCCGTGTCAATGCCCAGGCTCACGCTGTGCCCTTGCCCCCACAGCCTGCCTGCAGGTGGAATGGGGCAGCCATGAACGGCGATGCCCTGTGCCAGGAGCCCTCCTCCCCACTCCCCGACTGGAGGGAGTTCTGCAAGCTGCACGCCCAGGCGGCCGCCGTCGACTTCGCCCAGAAGTTCTGCCAGTTCCTGAAGGAGAACCCCCACTACGACACCCCCGGGGCAGAGACCTCCTTCTCCCACCACTTCACCGCCAACTTCCTGGACATCTTCAGCCTGGAGGTCAGCCGGGTGTTCGTGTCCGACTCGCCCACCAAGTACAACATCGTGCCCTTCGTGGGGCTGCAGAACTGCCACGTCCCCTACGGGCGGGAGGTCACCCCGAGGAAGGAGGAGACGTCCACCGAGTCCCTGGACAGCATGGACACCCAGCTGGGTGCCAGCCGGTACCTGACCCCGGCGCAGCAGGTGCAGGCACGCAAGGTGTCCTCCTACGGCCAGTCCCGCAGCTCGGAGGACGTCTCCATCCACGCCGCTGCCAAGCCCAAGTTCAAGAAAGGCTTCTCCCTGAGGAACATGAGCTTGTGCGTGGTGGATGGCATGAAGGAGATGTGGCATCGCAAGTCCTCTCCCGAGCCGGGCGCCGAGGCTGCCCCGGGCGGCCGGAGGGCTGAGAGGGAGCCGTGGCCGGCCGGGGGCAAGGAGCCTGGGGACCCCCGGGAGAAATGGACCCACAAGCTGCGCCTGTCCAAGGTGCCCTCCTCCAAGGTGGAGCTGGTGGACATCCAGAGGGAGGGGACGCTGCGCTACATGGTGGCCGATGACACGAACTGTGTGGGGAGCTCGCAGTGGCAGAAGTGCCGCCTCCTGCTCCGGAAAGCGGTGAAGGTGGAAGGAGAGAGGTTCCTCCTTGAGTTTTATGTCCCTCCAAAGGTAAGTCCTGGCTTTTCTCCACTGTTGTTTTTATGAGCAATTCAAGCAGCAGTTGGGCTTTGCTTGAGGCTTTTCTTGCAGTTTCCACTGCTGGGCTGGGATGGAATCCAGCCCTGGTCCAGAGGGAGGTCTGGTGCTGTGTGGCTGAGGTGCGAATGGATGGGAAAATGTGATGATTGAAACCTATCCAACCTGCAGACCAGAGTGAACCTTGGCACCGTGGGCGCTGGTCTGTGCCTCTTACCAAAACATTTGTCCTGATAAAATACAAAACATGCATTTGAAGTGCATCTCTCTGGAGAGTGGCTCAGCACTGGCATGGATGGTGTGCATCGCTGGGGGCTGGACTGGGGGCTTCCACAGCCCAGGGGCTGCACGAGGCTTGGCTGGAAGGAGACAACCCCATGTCCATGGCACGATGCCTTCAAGGGAGAGCCTTCAAGAGAGCTGGAGAGGGACTTTTGGAAAGGATGTGGAGTGACAGGATGAGAGGAAATGGCTTCAAACTGAAAGACAGTGGCTTTAGATTGTATATTACGAAGAAATTCTTGGCTGTGAGTGTGGTGAGGCCCTGGCACAGGTTGCCCAGAGAAGCTGTGGCTGCCCCATCCCTGGAAGTGTCCAAGGCCAGGTTGGACGGGACTTAGAGCAACTTGTGTAGTGGAAGGTGTCCCTGCCTGTGGCAGGGGGTTGGAATGAGGTGATATTTAAGGTCCCTTCCAAACCCAACTGTTCCTTGATTTTATGCACAGAGGATCTGGTGGGTAGGGGCTGCATGGAGCAGTGCTGGCACATAAGCTGCACCTGAGGGGTAATAAACTTGGGTTAAAATGGAACAACTGCTGCTCTTAAAACATTTTAGAGAGAGCTCATTGAGGGATTCTTTTTTTAGTGTATCTTGATTTGTCTCTAAAAATCAATTTTGAAATTATTTTACAGCAACTTTTATGAACATTGCCTGCTCCTCTGTTATAATCACACCCTGCTCTAATTTACAGCTTTCTCCCCTCATCCCATCTTGCTTTCCATCTGGCAAATGATTCAGCTGTAAAAGTGGCACCAGTCTGGCACAGCTGGAAGAAAACAGCTTTTTTCTGCAGCAGCCACAGCTTTGTTTTTGCGCAGACCCTACCAAAACTATGGCCATGTCCTTAAATCTTTAAAAGGAAGAGCCTTCCTGGAGAAGCGGGGGTTGGAATGAGATGATCTTTAAGGTCACTTCCAACACAAACCATTCTGTGCTTCTAAGCCCTTTCTCTGGCTAAGCAGTGAATTATCACCTTGTTTCCTTTCCTTTCGAAGCAGCTGCCGCCTCCTTTCTGACCTTCTCCTGTGCAAACACCAGGATGGAAAAATTCCCTGGGGATGGGCAGAGCCTTGCACGGTTGAGACGTGTCTGGAGGCAGCGCTGGGGCTCCAGGGCTGGCAGAAATGAAACATCCTGGAAGGGAAAAAGCAGTTTCTGTTCTGTCTTGGATGTATTTATTTTCATTTCCCAATAATAATGGGAACCGAGCCCGTTATTGGTAAACTGCAGCCTGGAGCTGCTCCCTGGCCTCATCCTACCCCCTGCACCCAAGGCACCAGGCACAGGTTTCAGTGACTAAATTGCATCTCCACTTCCCACATCCGTGATGCTCCGAATCCCAGAGCCCTGGAGAGCAGCTCTGCAGGCTCCTTTGGGGGGATTTGTTATAATTAAAACAAATATCTGGGGAATTTGTTGCTCAGCAAACACTTGGAGTGGGAGGCACCGGGTCCTGCCCCCCCATCGAGGCTCCGGCGGGTGCCAGGGGCCCCCGGGAAATTCATTTTTCTTTATTTTAATGTAATTAAAATTCCCTGCATGGCTGAGGCTGCTGCGTCGGAGCTTCTCGGTTGAAATGCTGCTCCTGTGCTGGATAAAGGGAGCTGCTTTTCCGCATGGGAAACATCCCCCATCAGACAGCACAGTTCTCTCCTGGCGGATCCCCATCGGGAGAGGGTTTAAGATGGAGAGGAGTAAGTGGTGCTGGCAGAGCTGGCACTTCAGCCTGCACTGCAGCAAGGAGGAGGTTTGGCACTTAAATGCACCTCCCTGTCTTCCACTGGGCCTCCTCTTGGTTTAATTCAAAGAGCTCAGAGTTATCAGAATGGGAGGGAAATCAATGCTGTTTATTCCCCTGCTGTAATAACCACAGGCTGAGCTGATCTTGCCTGTGAGAGCTCCGCTGCGTCGTCCCCAGGGACAGTTTGATTCAATTGAGTGACTTTTTTCATTCATTGATTTCTTTTAATTTATTTTCTTTTGGGGTTTTTTTTCCCCCCCCTTTTCCCAGGCTTCCAAACCCAAGGTGAGCATCCCGCTGTCGGCCATCATCGAGGTCCGCACCACAATGCCACTGGAGATGCCCGACAAAGACAACACCTTCGTCCTAAAGGTGAGAGCAGGGTGTGTATCCCCCCAGGAACCCCATCTGCACCTGCTTCCAGCCCCTGCTGCAGGGATGCTCAGTTCCTGAGGGGATCGTTGCCTTGGCTTTCAGAGCTGGGATGCCAACAGCACTAATGCTCCCCATGGGATCCCTGCCTCCTCCACCTGACTCCCGGGGATTTTGGGATCGAGCTGTTTGCCTGGCTTTCACTGTGATGCTTGGCTTCTCTGTGTCACTAGGAGACAGGTTAAATTAGTGTCCAGAGACAACCTGCAAGGGAAAATACTTCTCAGTGCAGCTGCTTGTGGTTTTCATTGTGCTGTTTCATTGACACGGGGCAGTGGCACTCAGGGCTCTGGTCTAGTTGACAAGGTGGTGTTCGGTCAAAGGTTGGACTCCATGATCTTGGAGGTCTTTTCCAACCTTAATGATTCTGTGGGAACAGCTGTGCAGGGCCACTGAGACCCTGGGGTCAAACTACCCCACATGAGTCTGGGGGCACAAGCAGAGAGTGGAATTCTCTCCAAAAAAGACTTTTCCGTATCATGCAGTTAATTAGCTTAATGCTGCCTCCTGCTCTGCTGGAAGGCAACAGCCTGTCATGGCAGATCAGGGATGAATCTTGCAGGGTCCTGGCCACCATGATGATGGATGTGTTGTTGGAGGTGGTGTTTCTCTCCACTTTCCTGTTCATGTGGAGTCATGCTTTCCATCAGAGCTGTGGGATTTGCCCAGCTGGGAGGCAGCACGTGTAGCTGGGGGAACACCAGCATTTTGAGTGTTTCTGTGTCCTACCTCTGCTCAAAAAACACCTCTCTTCCTAAGAGCTTCTCCCGTAAGAGTGTGTGGCAAAGCAGATTGGAGAGCCCGGGCTTCCCAGCTGAATGAACCTGCCTGAAAGCTTAGAAAACTGTGAAAGCAGAGGAGGGTAAAATTAAAGCTTGGCTTTGTGAAAACCCTTGCACCTGGTAGCCTGCTGGCCATGGCACACATTCCCATGGGAAATCATTTTCCACCAAACCCAGCTCCTTGTCAAGGTCCCACATCTTCTCCTGGCATCTCCTTCAGGGCATCCTCCCTGCCCCAAGGGCTTCTTGCTCTTCAACTTCAGCCTCTGCTGCACTCAGTGTCCACCATGGCCGTGGAGGGTCATTCAGCTGTCTTCTGTGTCTCAAAGACCAACCTCAAGAGTCTTCTGCCCTCCAGATTGACCAGCCCAAGGTCCTCCTTGCTTTCCTTGCAGGCTTTCTCCTTGCAGAGAATTCCCTGAAGTGTACATGGGGCCATGCCCAAGAGCAGATAGGAAGGATTGCTTCTCCTTTGATTGCTTCTCCTTTCTTCTTCCTCTTTGTCCAGCCCAAGCTGATCTGGCTGTTTTCTTCATACCCTGATGATGATGATGTTGACTCACACACAGCTTGTGGGCTGGTGCAACCCCTCAGTGGTTTTTGCAGAACTGCTCCAGAGTTGTGATTCCCCAGCACAACAATTCCCCACCCCACAGCAATCGGTGTGAGTCCAGAGCTTGCCCCTGTCCTTGAGCTGGAGGCATTTTCTTCCACTAAGCATTTCTCAGCTTTGACAAGAGCATTTGAATTCTTGCCTCATCCTTCAGCACACTTGCAGAGTGGTGTCACCCATGAATTGATCAGGCATCCTCACTTGCCTTTGTCCTAATCATTACTGATGAGTTTGACTGGGTTTGGTCATGACAGATCCCTGCTGGGGGGGATTCAGCTCTGGGGGTGCTTTCTGGGTGTCCATAAGGGTCAGTTTCTTTGGCTGATGGAGGAGAACTCTGGCTTTGCCCTCTTCTCATCTTCTGGAGCCAGAAATGCTCTATCCATCCCCACCACTAATGGATCAGTGGCTACTTCAGCCATTTCTTTAATTTACCTGGGGAATGCTCCAAACCCCACCAGTCAAAAAATGCCTGATTTATCAGGTACCTCCTGCTCCTGCCCTGTCCTGGCCAGGGTGCTCACCCTGCCACAGGGGGAATTGACTGGAATCGATCCTTTGAGTGAGCAGAGGCAGCAAGCGTGGCATTGAGCCCCTCTCCTACTGCTTCCAGCCAGCCTTTGCCCTCCCCTCCCAGCTGTGGGCACAGAATGCTATTCCCCTTTCTCACATCCATTATTACTTGTGGCTCATTTTCTGTCCAGTCCCTTTGTGCTGGGACATCTTCTTGCTGTTCTGCCATTGCCCCTTTGCTGGCTGGACTTGCAAAGGGGGTGAAGCACCCACAGGTGCTGGGGTAAAGGTTAGATGGATAAGCTGAGTGCTGTGGTTTCCCTGCTGCCTTCCTGTGTGATGTGGACCCCAATCTCAGCCTTCACACACAACATGCAGGTTTATGATGGGTGGAAAAGCCCCTGCCTTGTTTAGGGAGGCCACACTAGAATAGCTGCTGCCAAATTGCCTAAAAATGAGCAGGCAGCATGTCCCCAGCTCCCATCAGACACCAAGCACATGCAATTTTTTCCATTGCACAAGCAGGTGCTTGCAAAATACCCAAAGCCTGCACGTGCTTCGCTTGCTGTCATGCTCTGCATGAGTGAGCAGCCCCATCTCTCACGTCAGCTTTGTGTGTTGTCATCAGAATGCCAGAGAAGCTCCTTTCCTCTGGTTAAACAAATTAAGGGGGACGGGGGGGTGTCTTTGCTGCTCTCCTACACCTCTGCCTGGGGCAGGATCACTCAGGCACAGCCCAAGCTGTGGCAGGGACCAGGTCACTGCTCAGCCTCAGCCGGGGCTCTGCTCCCTGCCCTCCCTGCTTATTTTCAGGACAGTGATTCAGTTGTTTGTGATTAATTTAATTTGCTTGGAGGTTGTCTCAGCTGGCAATGTGATACCCTCCTGGAGTCAGGGTTGCTTTGCCAGCTCAGGAACGCGACGTATAAAGCTCCGTGAAGGATGCAGGGAAACCTGCCAGAGGCACACAGCATCCCATGGCATCTGTGGCCACTGATGTGGGGCATCTGGGTTCTCCCTGTCCCCAGAAAGGCACAGCTGCTTTGGGCTTACCATTTTGGATGCTCTTTTGCATCCTGATTTTTGCTTAATATTTTTTTCCCTGTGAAAGTGGGCTTCTCTCCCACCCTGCTGCAATCAGAAATTCAAGCCTCATGGACCAGCAGGCGGAAAAGATAACAGATGAGAGGTTTAAACTCCTGGCTTTGGGGCATGGCAGGGTTTTGGGGCATAGAGCAGCGTGGCTTCTGCTCTACCTCTGCAGAGCTAGTTTTTGGGGGGCACTGAGGTGCCCCAGAATGAGAGATGCTGTCTGGCACATAATGCCGTGTACCCTCAGTGCCGCCAGCCAGGTGTGGTTTTGCCACAGAGGCTGTAAAAACCTTGTAAAAAAAACTTGTGATACATGTGCTAATAACAGTGGGGTGGGAGTTTTCCTCTGAGCCCCATCTTTGGTCAGGGGGCACACCCTTGGGCACACCAGAACGCTCTGTGGGTCACCCTCAAGCACCCCTGTGCTGGGATGAGGCAGGACATGGATCCTCTCCTGCTCAGCGAGGTGCTGTTCAATAGCAGCAGGTCTTGTGGGGGTCCAGCTGGGCTATGGGGGGTGGGTGGCAGGACCCCAGCACTGCTCACACCATCCCACATTGCCTGCAGGTGGAGAATGGGGCTGAGTACATCCTGGAGACCATCGACTCCCTGCAGAAGCACTCCTGGGTGGCGGATATCCAGGACTGCATCGACCCCGGGTAAGGATTGCTGGGGGAAGGGGCCTTGTGGGGCTGAGCTGGGCACTGCTGTGCTGCCCTCACCCCTGAGCACAGCTTGTTACCCCAATGCAGTTTTTGCTATTCAGTTTGTTATAGAAGTCCCCAGCTCACAGCAGTCTGAAAGCCAAGTCTGCAGCCTGTGTTTGCAGAGCACTGGCTGCCTGTTCACTCTTCCCTTCTCTGTGTCACCTCAGCCTGGCAGAGGCAGGTGACCTGGGAATGCAACCTCAACGTGGGAACCTTCTACCACCCACCTTCTGAAGCTTTTATACTATATTTGAACTATTCTCCATGTTTTTTTCTAGTCTAGCATCCACGATATATTTAAGGTTCTGCTGGTTAAATCGATTTATTTACATTTCTATCACAGTGGCATCACACTCAGCCAGAACCTCTCATCTGCTGTTTCATCAGCCCATGCAGCAGGTTACGTGTTAGGGAGGTTTTGTGCCCGATGCTGCCACCCTTCAGCTGGCTCAGACAGGCCCAGCCTCTGGGGAAACCCTGGCACTGCCCTTCTTGGCACAGTTTTGGAAAAACAAGGTGCCCACGCTTGCAGAGGTGAAAACCTCAAGCAAACCTGGAACAGGGCCTTGGAGAGGCTCCTGCTGCCTCCAGGCTGCCTTTGCCCCCTTCTGCTGGAGAGAGGCAGTTTACAGGGCTGGTTACTGTGGAGGCTGCATCTCGTGGGGAGGATGCACTGAGGCACTCCAGATTTTTACTCCTCCAGTTCCTTTTCCTGTTTTCTAAAATATATAACCCGTTGGCACAGGTTGCCCAGAGAAGATGCAGATGCCCTCTCCCTTAAAGTGTTCAAGGCCAGGTTGGATGGGGCTTGGAGCAACCTGGGATAGTGGAAGGTGTCCCTGCCCAGGGTGGGGGGTGGAACGAGCTTTAAGCCCCATAATTCAAGAAGCAGTGCTGAGGCTGGGCTGCTGAAGGAGGCAAGGCTGGGAAAAGGCCCTTTTTTTCCCACTGCATGTTTCAGTGCCAGTTTTCCAGCCGGAGCCGAGCACCACGGCCGTACTCCCCTCAAGCCACCGCAGGAGCCACCGGCATCCCTGCGCCAGCCCCTCTGGCAGCCTCCCAGCCTTCTCTGTTTGCTTAGCACCCAGCGCCGTCCCGCTCTGGCCTCCGGACGTGACTGTAAAGCAAATAATAATGAACTCCAGAGCAAATAATAATGAGCTGTTTAATACACCGACACACGCGCTCGCTGCCAAGAACGAATTTCCAGTCAGCTCCCGATGCTTTTGCCAAGGGCTGCGTGCTGGAGCCGCCGCGTGAGCGCCCGGCGACGGCTTTTCTGCAGCGCGCTGTTGGTTTTGGTTTCCTTCCTCCCTTCTTGTTTTTAACCGGCTGCAGCTGAATGACTCCCAATGGCTGATTCACTTACTGGCCACTAAATAATTCAGCAGCTCACGAGGGAGCCGTTACCACCGACGCAGACGCTTCCTCGCTGCCTGTGCCCACGTGGCCGCCGTTAAGCAAGAGTAGCCCAGTGCTGCCGGCAGCTCTGGCAGTGCCAAGCTCCTTCTGACAGCCAGGATAAAAATAGGCTGTGGAGCAAGTCGGGTGCTTGTGCAAGAAGGATGCTCAAGTGCACGGGGAGGGTCGGCAGCAGGGATGCTCTGTGGGGGTTCCCCCTCCCTTGGTCTGTTCCCGCTCGTTGTCTTGCTCCAGGCTTCCTGGCTTGTTTTTTTGATGTCTTTTAGGGTTGTAATTCCCTTTGCAGAGGGTGAAAGTGAAAGGGTGGAAGTTGGTAGTGGGATTGTATGTGGGTGCACTGATGTCTTGTGAAGCAAAGGGCTGAGGGTCAAGGTGACGGATTTCCATCCAAACCAATAATGTTGCAGCAAAATCCTGCAGCTGGGACTGACCAGCATGACTCTATAGCATGGGCTTTCAGGGGCTTAATCCCTCTCATGCTGGTTTCTCACCCCCAAAAAGCCATGTCGTTTTGGTGGCTGCTCTGCCTCTCTGTGGTGTTGGTGCTTCTATTCAGGGAAGCAAGGAGCATCAGGACGTGCTCCCAGGTCACAGCTAGAATTTTGTTTGGCACAGTCCCTGTTCTGTCCCAGTTTTGCGCCAGAGGTGCCACACGTGTATGTGTCTGTAGTGTGGCACCCAGCATGTGACCATGTGCTCTGTGCTCTCCCCCAGGGACAGCGGGGACGATATTGAGCTGGTGTCCTGTGCACAGGGAGGCTGTCTGCCAGGCAGGACAACTTCCTCCAGCTGCGAGTTCCTGGCTGACGGTAAGGACCTACATCTGGGAAAGCCTGGGAGTCCCTCAAAGCCATAACACAGCCCTCAGGTGTCTCTGAGAGCCAAGGGTATCCAACGTGGTTGCCTTCAGAGCAGGACAGCCCTCACCTTTGTCCAGTGATGGTGGGTGATGCTGAGCCGTGAGCCCATCCCTCTGCAAATTCCCTTCCAGATGTGCCCAGGCCTCCGGACAGATGTGCCCTGCCCAGCGCTCACAACACCACCACGGCCACCGCTGTCCCCGTGCCCCACGGCCGGAGCAGGGACTCCCTGGGGGAGCTCCTCACTCATGTCCCACTGGAGAACTTCCTGCAGACGCTGGAGTCCTCCCCCACTGCACATCTCACAGGTACCGGGATGCAGGATGTGGCCCCAGCATCTCACTCTTGAGGGAGAGGATGAGGGGGCAGGGGGGGTGATGTCTGGGTGCTCCCTAAAAACCTGCTGTCCCTGCGGGCAGGGGAGGACAGCGAGGCGGAGGCGGAGATCAACCTCTCTGACTTCCCCTGGTTCCACGGGACTCTCTCTCGGATCAAGGCGGCTCAGCTGGTGCTCTTCGGGGGCGCCCGGAGCCACGGATTGTTCGTCATCCGGCAGAGCGAAACGCGGCCAGGGGAGTATGTGCTGACCTTCAACTTCCAGGGGAAAGCCAAGGTGGGTGTCCTCTGCTTCTCTGTGAATATCAGCACCAGCCCTGCCCAGCACCCCGGCTTCCTTCCTGCTCTGCAAGCAAGCGGGTGCCATGCAGTGACCCCAAACACAGCAGCTCAGCAGGGGGCTGCACCCTGGCAGGGCACCCCCAGGACTGCCTGCTCTTGTCCCCCCAAGAGCCCTCTGCACCCTGCTCAGCTCCTTCTACACTTTCCTAACTGGATCAGTGCCTGCTAGGCCAGCATCAAGTTAAATATTATCAAATAATATATATGGAAGCCCAGCCTAACCTGACACATCATCCCCTGCCCTCTCCTTTTTCACTCTGTGCCCCAAAGTACATGGGTGCACTATGAAGAACCAAGTCAAATGAAGTTTTCTGCTCAGTTTCTAGCAGAGGGCACACTCTGTCAGGGGTTGGGATATAACTGCCTGTTCTTGTCACCTGTCCTGCAAGTAGTTCAGGTGGGCAAGGGTCTTCCCCACAGCCATCTGTTGCACCCAGCCTCCCTTCTCTGGATGTTTCTTTATGGTGTTGATCCCTAGGAGGGGCCAAACTTCTCCTGAGGCTGCACCGAGTGGGGTTATGCAGGAAACCCCCTGCAGCAGGTTAAAAATGACAATCCTGAGTTAGGAGCAAACCTCCCTTGGCTGACGGAGGTGGCTCCTGCTGCTGATGGCAAGGGTGGCCTCGCTCTCATGGTCCCCAGCTCACCCACTGACCCCTGTGCTTGCAGCACCTCCGCCTGTCACTGAACGAGAGCGGGCAGTGCCACGTGCAGCACCTCTGGTTCCAGACCATCTTCGACATGCTGCGCCACTTCCACACACATCCCATCCCCCTGGAGTCGGGCGGAGCAGCCGACATCACCCTCCGCAGCTACGTGGTGGCCCAGAGCCCACAGCCCGGTAGGTCCTGGAACCAGGCAAGGGCAGGGCTGCGTGTGGAGGGTTGGGTGTGAGGTTTGGGTGGTATCTTGTGTGGAACTAAAAGGGAATGACCCCTGGGATTCCCTCCCTGAAGCCGTGCCTGTGCTGATGCACGTGGCCCTGGAGATGTGCCGAGGTGGGTGTTATCCTGTCGGTGGGCAGGGAGCACCACGCAGCAGCAGGGCTGTGCTGGTGTGACCCCCGTGTCCCTGGCCGTGGGTGTCAGTCCCCTGGCTCGAGAGGGAGAGGAGCAGAGGGGTCCGCAGGGCTCAGAGCATCCTGCTGTGCTGGGGGAGTGTGGGCAAGGGGGGTTGGGGAAGGACAGGGTCGAGGATGGAGAGGATGGGCATGGGATGGTGCCAGCGAGGGAGCACTGGAGGGGTCAAGCTCTTGTCTCCCTTGCAGATGCCGGCCCCCCGCCACCCCTTGTGCCACAGCCCCCGGGCTGCCGGGTCGACCTGCCACCTCCGCACTACTTCTGCAGCACGGCACCCACCGGCCCGCCAGCCCCACCGCCTGCTGAGGGGGTGGCCGTGGCCCCCCCTGTCACTGTCCCCGCACCCTACCACCGCCTGGAGGGTGCCCTGGGCCCCCGGAGCCGCAGCGACAGCACGGAGCGCCGGCCGGAGCCCCCCACCGCCAGTGCCGAGGACTACCACGAGGCTGACAGCGCCCGGAGCCGGACCCGGGCCGTGGAAAACCAGTACTCCTTCTACTGAGCCCCCCCACGCCTGGGGGCTGGATGGTGGGGGGAAGCGGGGCAGCCGTGCCCCTCACCGCTGCACCAGCCTCGCCACCTCCTCCTGCCACCACCAGCAACCCAACCGGGACATCCTTCGCGCTCCCTGCTGCTCCTGGGAGCTGTGTCAGCGGCAGGAGATGTCCCAGCTGGACCTTGCGCCAGCCCCAAGGTTGGGGCAGTGCTGGAGGTTTGGGAGGCTGAAAGAGTCAGTGCCATTTTGGAGCTTGCAGCCTCTTCTTTTTCCCTCTGGACCAAGAGCTCTCCGAGGGCCAAGCCGAGCTCCCTGCATCTCCTCCTGGGTGTGACCGTCGTGGGATGGCAGCCCGGAGCTGTGACAGGCTCCATCCCCCAGCCAAAGCACCTTGGCACATCCATTCTGGGGCGAGAGCCCAGCATGGCCAACATCCTTCTGGCACCATTGCCCTGCAAACCAGCTGCCGAGGGACTCTGGCATTTCGGGATGAGCATGGAATTGGCAGATCTACGTGCAGAGACTGTGCTCACATACATGGATCACTGAGAGGCACCACTGAGGGTTTATCCAGGCTGGCCTTTGGGCTCCCTCTGAGGCATGTGTTTCCCACCCTCTGCCAGGAAAAGGTGTTTTTTTCCCAAAGCTTAATGAATTGCATTCAAGGAAGGGTTTTTCTGCTATCCTGCCTTTTGTGTTCCTTTGTTTCCTCTCTCTCCTTGCTGTACCTACAGAGAATCCCTGGGTAACCCCTTTCTTCCTCCCTCTCTTCCTTGCTTTTTCAAAACCTAAGCTCTCTACAAGGGCAACAGCTCAGCCTTCTGCCTGCTCTCTGCCACAGCTGGGCAATGTTTTCCATTGCTCATGGCAAACCTTGGAAAATATGACAAAACCCCGGCTTTGCATCAGTTGTTGGTCATTCGGGATGGAGGGGGGGTCAGGCAGAGGCCAGGGGCTGTGTCTGGAGGTGAGGGACAGCCTTGCCCTGCAGGTGTTCAGCTGGGCTCCCAGGAATGAAAACACTACACATCTTCAGTAACTGCTACTGAAAGTTACTGTTTTTTCTTAGACAAATAGAAAAGCCCAGGAAGAGCAAAAGAAGTGGGGCTGGTGCCAGGTGGGTGAGCAGCCAGCCGGCACAGGGGGCCAGGCCAGGCTGAGGGGCAGGACTGCCCTTACCAGTGGTTGATGTCCCTCCCCAGCAGCTTTGGCTTTGGAGTGCCTGGACAGGTTTCCAGGTAGAGCAGACCCCACCATAGCAGGTAGAAGTTACCACTTAGTGCAAAGAGAGGTACAAGCCAAGCTACAACCTAACTCAAAAAAACCCCTTGAATTTGCCTGGAATTGGGTTGGGCCAAATTTTAATTTTTTTAGGTGCCTTCTTTCCTGAGCTAGCAAAGCATGTCCCCAGTGCTCGAGTCACTTGTGCCTCCTCCTTCCAGGGGGCAGGGAAGGTGTCTCCAAGGCTCCTTCTGCAATGTGAGAGCTGCCTTTCTGGCCCATGGGTGTGTGAGATGAGAACTGCTGGATCTCATTCCTGCAGGAAATGCCACCTTCTCCCCAAACACACGGCCCTTCAGAGAGCAGCAGGAGCGGTTTGCTCTGTCGAGGGTATTTCTCCTTCCTCAGCTCAGCTAAAACCCAGCTTGGAGGAGCCCATGGAGCAGGAAAAGGCTAATGGGTTGATGGGTTTAACTTGGACTTGCTTCCTTCACACACAGAGTGAATGAGGGGGGATTTTGGATACGGCACAGACATCATCACTCTGGTTCCTCATTGAGGTCCCAAGGAGCTGGATGGGAGCACTGCCTTACAGACCTTCAGATACTGGCTGGTTTCTCACTTTCAGTGTCACAGGATAGGAAGAGGAGGGGGAAGCTACGATCTGCAAGCAGAAATGTTAATTTGTAAATAGGGAAGAGTCTGGAAGAGTTTACTGTTGTGTAGAATAAATTAATTTTATTTAAAAATAAAAGGGGGAGGGGGACTTGATAAACAAATGGAGAACTCGAGTTCTGGTTTTAAAATAAAATCACTTGCAAAAAGGATGGCATGTGAGCATGAGCTTGGGGTTTTGCTGGATTTGCTACAAGGAAAAAAAGAAAAAAGGGAGGGTGCTGTCATGTCACATGTGTGTAGACCTCATTGCTATCTCAAGGCAGGTGGGGCTGGGCTCGGTCTGTCTTTGCCTGATGGAGTGCACTGAGGAGTGAGAGAGGGGTATTTTTCTTACTGCTGAGCAGAGGGAGGAGGAGGAGGATGGGTCCAGGCTGCACAGGACAGGCTTTTATCTCCTCCCAGTCTCTTATTTTCTTTGTCTGGTCTGTCACTGGTGCAGGTTGAAGCGCCTCCCTCCCCAAAGCAGAGTGGATAATAGAGAATGAGCAGCTCTGGGGTATGAAGATGGACCTCCCTTGCCAAGGGCCTGTGAGAGCATCTCCCATCAGCCATTCCCCACAGCCTGTCATTCCCCCTCCTATGCCTTCATCTCTCCTGGGAGGCAGTGCCTCTCATTCTGACGTTGTATGTCTTTCTAGTGTGCTCTTTTCTGCTGAGAATCCCCTGGGAAAACTGGGGCATTGTCCCAGACTGTTCTGTCACAGCTAAGCAGCGTGACAGACACAGCTAACACATGGCTTTTGGGGGGGTGGAGGGAGCTGCTCAGCTCAGGAATCAGGCCACGGTTGTGTCATGATCCATTCACAAAAATATTCCCTCCCCCAAAAGGCTCCAGAGCCTGTTCACTGCTCCTGGAGAGCTCATCCATCAGGAGCTGGGCAGCTGGGGAGGTGACAGCCCCTCCTTATGGATGACTCTTTTCCCCTCAAGGCTGGCACTGAGAGATGTGCCTGTGGGACAGCTGCTCTTCCTGCCTAAACCTAAACCATTCACACCTCAACTTATTAGCAAATTGACTAACTGCAGCATCAGTCTTGCTGGAAAACATCCCTTCCTTTCCTTTCATAGGATTCCTGGGAGGCAGGATGCAACAGCCCTTTGCATCTAACACACAGATCTGGTAGTGAAAGGAGGAGAAAGCAACCTCAGTGTGTGGGCTGGGCTGGATTCCGTGCCAGCAGTGCCCTCTGCCCAGGGCCGGAACAGGACTGGGCTGCAGGGATGCTGGACTGGTCTGCAGGGATGTTGAAGTGGTCTGTGGGGATGCTGGCTCTGAGCTGTGCCCTGGCAGAGACTGTGAACAGGACAAAAATGCAAAGGGATTTCAGCAGCGCAGCCGCCCACATTTCACGTGGGTGTTGGAGCTCCACAGCTGCTCCTGCCTGACGTGCAGGGTCTGTCTCAGCAAAGGCTTGCAGTGCTTCCAGAAGGATCCCTTTGGTAGGAAAACTCCTCAGAAGCACAGTTGAGCTTTGATACAGATCAGGGAGCTGGGTTTTGTTGTTTGGTTTGCACTGACCTATGAAAACACTTCCCTGTTCTAATGCAAATCCCGTGACCCCAGTAAGCCCAGTTCTGCCCAGATCCCAGCCCAGCACTCTGATTTCGTGGGCTTTGTATTTTGCTGAAATACTTTCTATTTTTGAATGACCCAGTAACAGGCTTGGCCCCCCTCCCTGGATAGATATATTTTAAAAGTAATATGTGCATAACACATCAAGAGTCTGCACCAATTCTGGAGACATGTAGGTTCAGAGTAAGATGCTCCCAGGTCTCTTTCCCCACAGTTTGCGTGGGCTCTGTTGGATGACAGGGCTGTGAGCTGTCACTGGCACAAGCCACGCTTTGGGCAAGTGAATCCAGCTGCTCCCTGCAGCCCGTGGGGACTGGAAGGCAGCTCCTCACTCACACCCCTGACAACTTAGGGGTTAGTGAGCTAAACCTTCCTGTGCTGTGCTCAGGACCAACCAGGGAGGAAACTCAAACAATCTGCACTTCTGCTTCTAAAAAATGTTCTGCAGTGACTGAGCAGGGACCAGGGGCACGTACCTGCCCCTGCCACTGTAATGGCTTCCTTGGCAAGGCTGAGTCCAGCCTGGCACTGTAAGATTTCTGTTCTGGTGGGCTGAAGAGGACTCAAGGCTGGGAGAGCCGTGGGCACAGGAGCTGAGGAGCTGGCAGACAGCATGGGGGAAGCTGTTTGCATTGCTCCAGCCAGGGCTGAGACTGCCTTCAAGGATGCCTTCCAGGACCAGCGGCCAGCTGGGAACTCAGCCAGCACTAAATTCACACCATTCTTTTACAAATCAGGTTGGTAAGACAAACACGAGGCACAAACTAGTGTGATTTCCATAGCAACCTCAGTGAGGGTTGAAAAGTCTTTTGTAAACATAGGGCTGAACCTGAGGATCAGCTCCGGTTTTCTCCACGGAAGGGGGAAGAGAATAGGGGCTTAATAAATTCAGGTCATATAAATGAACTATAAATCTCAGAAGGAGCCGTTCCCAACGTCTCCGTTCCCCTTTCTGTCACCCTCTCCACATGCACCGCACGAAGCTGTCTGAAACCCAGAGCCCAACTTCTCGGCTCCAGCTTATCTCCATAAACTACACAAAGGTTTATGCCCCTCTTCCATTGCAGCTGACCTTTAGTAGCTAATTCTCTGACGCACGCACGGCCCGAGCACATGCCATGCCATTTCTGTAGGGCCACAGCGACTTGAAAAGAAATTTGGCTTGCAGAGGAACCTGATCACAGCCAGCTCCAGCTCCTCTTCCCCACTCGTGCCTTCCCCCCAGCCCCATCAGTCAAGCGTGGATTGGAGTGTACAATCCCTCAGCTCGTCCAAGCACTGCTCCCGCAAAGCCCAGATGTGAATCAGGTTGCAGATAGTGCAGCATCCCCCTTCTGCTACCTGCCCACGTCTCCACATCCCCAGTGCCCGGCAAGGCCATGCCGTGGGGAATGGCACTGCCGTTCATCACTGTCAGCAGACAAAGCCCGCGGGCAGCGCTGGTTAATTACCAAAGTGACACGAACAGATGGTGCAGGCAGCCTGCCACCGAGGCACCGGGAAGTCCCGTATCGCTTACACCATCACGGGGAAAGGATTTGGCAGGGCTGAGGGTGCCGGTGAAAAACACGCTGAATTTTCACCCTCCTCGGGGCTCAGCTGAGCCCGGAGCCTGGATGGAGCGTGGCAGATGACAGAGCTGCCTCGCTAATGGGTCCTGTTGGGGACAGACTGCACTCGCTGCAGCCTGGAGAACGTGCTTGGGGTGACGGAGGAAACCAGAGCTCAGCAAACGCAGCTTTGCAGGGAGAAGGATGCACAGCTGCAGCTGGGACATGGGAGAAGTGACGCAGGGAACGACGTGTATATCTGAGTGTGTACATGAGTATCTGAAGGAGGGGTCAGAGGATGAAGCCGGGTGTTTCTCAGTGGTGCCGAGCAGCAGGATGAGAGGTAGCAGGGGGCAGAGACTGGAGCACAAGCCGTTCCACCTGAACAGGAGACTTGGACCTGTTGGAGTGAGTCCAGGCGAGGCCACCAAGATGATTAGAGGGATGGAGCATCTCTCCTGTGAGGAAAGGCTGAGAGACTTGGGGTTGTTCAGCCTGCAAAAGAGAAGGCTTCAGGGTGACCCAGCTGTGGCCTTGCACAGTACCTGAAGGGAGTCAACAAGAAAGATGGAGAGGGACTTTTTACAAGGACATGTAGTGACAGGACAAGGGGGAATGGCTTTAAACTGACAGAGGGCAGGGTTAGGTGGGATGCTGAGAAGAAATTACTCCCTGTGAAGGTAGTGAGGCACTGGCACAGGCTGCCCAGACAAGCTATGGCTGGCCAGTCCCTTGAAGTGTCCAAGACCAGGTTGGGTGGGGCTTGGAGCAAGGGAGGTGGCGGAGTCAACGCCCCTGGTGGTGTGTAAGGAAAGGACTGGACGTGGCAGTCGGAGCTCTGGTGTGGCGTGGTGCGTGGTGCTCGGTCACAGGTCGGGCTCCATGTATTGCAACCTAATCAGTGCTTCTGTGACTCTATGACCATTGGCGGCGAGGGCTCCGAACTCCCCTCACGGCGCCCCCCCCCCCCCCCTTCACGGGCCCTCAGCCAGACCCGCCATGACGGGCGGGGAGCGTCGCGCGCCGTGACGTCACGGGGGGCGGGGCGCGGCCAGGGCTGGAACATGGCGGCGCCCTCGGCCCCGCGGCCGCCCCGGCCCCGCAAGGAGCCGCAGCCGCTCGTCATCCCCCGCAGCGCCGCCGAGGAGCAGCGCCTCCGCCTCGAGCGCCTCATGAGGAACCCGGTGAGGGCGGCGCGACCGGGGAGGGAGGAGGGGGGAAAGGAGGGACAGTGAGATCCCCCCACCCCCAGGGTCCGTGAGGGGAGGGGGACGCCGGGACCCCACAGTGCACCTCCAGGGTCCGTGAGGGGAGAGGGACCGGCACGCCCGCCCCGGGGTCTGTGAGGAGAGAGGGGCTGAACCCCCTCCCTTCCTTCTTCCCGGTTCCACGAGGGGAGACAGATCGATATCCCCCGCCCTTTCCTCCTCTTTGGGTCTTCGAGGGGAGAGGGACTGACACCCGCCCCACACACCGGGTTGTCATGTTGGGAGAGGGACTTTTCTGGGGTGCTGTGAGGGGAGAGACCCTTCTCTGGGGACCCGGGGGAGGACTGGCTCCTCAGTGCTCTCTGCCCACTGGTCCTTCGCTCTTCCCACTGCTTTTAATGACCCCAGTTCTTCTAACTGGGTGCTTCGATCCTTTCCCGAGGAGGTGTTTGCCAGGAGGAGACTCTCACCCCTGCCCTGTGTGTGCCGGAGCAGCTGAGATGTCCCTGCACCGCGTTCTTCCTCTGACCTTGCACCATGTGTTCTCCCTCCCCTGCTCTTCCCTGTCCTCTAGATCTGGCATGGAAGGTGCACAAATGCCTTTCATCACTTCCCAGACTACTGGTAGTGGGAGCAGACTCAGCTCCCGCGAGTGCTTGGAGGTGCTGACATGCTTCCACCTGGTTCCCATACCGAAAAGAAGCACAGACACTCCTAATCCTCCCGGGGTTTGTTGACCTGCAGGCCTGAATGTGAGGGACAGAGAGGATCCCTTCTGATTCTCCTCTTCTGCCTGCTCCTGCTCCCTGTGCCTGAAGAAATGGCTGCAGCTGTGCTCCTTCTGAGATCTGTCAGCTGATGGAAGAGGCTGTTGTCAGACATGTCCCGCCTTTCAACAATGTGTTAAAATTGCAGACTTTGCTCCTAGAAGATACTGATGGCTGGTTGGTTTGTTCTTGCAGGAAAAGACTGTACCAATCCCCGAAAAACTGAACGAATGGGCGCCGCGGCCTCCCCCGGAGTTCGTTAGAGATGTGATGGGTAAAGATTCTGCTCTTCAGATACCCCCGGGGTCAGCCACATTTAACTCAGAAAAGTGCTTAACAGGGGGGGACAGAGATGGTTTTCCTGTTGCTCATTTTGCTGGAGGAGAGAGGTGTGAAATGTGCTTCGAGAGTTGCTTTTTCGAGTTTTATTTGGTTCTCGGGTCCCGCTTTTCTGCCGGTAGTCAGGATGCAAAGTGAACAAAGCCCGTGGCACTGCAGCACGTGGGCTGCCTGCAGTGCAATACGCTGCTGCTCTGGTGATGACATGTAAATGATGATAAGTAAATCCGTCTTTCCCACTGATTTGAGAGCGCTCTGGAAGCTTACAATTATGAAGCCCTTCTTCTGGCTGCTTTGAGCCTGGGTCTCAGGCACGTGCAGCAGGTATGGTTGTGTGTGGTCAGGCAGGGAGCTGGCAGCTGTGCGAGGAACCTGACCCAAATACCCTGCTTATACTTTACTTTTACCTGCAGGGATTAAATACAGTAGTTGTGGTATAAACTGTGTCTGCATGTAGAAGTTCTGTCTTTCTTTCGGACCTTCATCCTTCATAGAGGTTGACTTGTTCTTATCTCAGAATAACTGATCTTGCCTTGAAGTTTTTATACACTTTGGAATAAACTCTTCTGCTTATTAGAACTCCCTCATGGCTTTTTCAAATAGCTTTGCTGTGTGCTTGAGTCAAACTGTCTTGTTTTTCTGGGAGCACCTGACATGCTGGGATTCTGCTGGTATCAAGAGCACCCCTGTTGCAGACCCAGCTGCTGTGTTTTAATTAGGTGTCTTTTTTTGAGGCTTGTATTCCTGTGCTTTGCCTTAAAAAAATGGCTCAGCAGACAGAGGAAGAGAATGGAGAGTGATGTTGAAAGCTCCTGTGAGACTTCAACATGCAGGCTGATGCCAGGAAGAGAGAGCTGTGGGCATTTCATCTGTGTGAAGAAACAGTCAGAAACTGTCAGTGGTATCTGTCTTGCGTGGGAAAGTACAATATGATGGGGTTTATCTCCTTTCTGTTGACCTTTATTTTTTGTGTGAGATGCTGAAAATCAGTCAGAAGCAGCCCCAGCAGGATGTTTTAGCTCACCTCTGCCTGGTAAGAGAATGGGGAGTATATTTGATGTCTGGTTCTTTGCCTGTCTTGATGTGCAGCTAAGACTGGGCTCTCCAGGGGGAGTAATCAACCAGTAGGACCTGCAGTGACCGATTGCAGTGTGGTTTTGCAGCTCTCTTTGGGTTTTGGCTGTGAGCAATTTGAGCTTATATAAAACAGTGACACACTCTGTGTGTCGCTGGTAGCTTTCAACTTACAGTGCCCTTCTCATGTGTCCCATCCCTCAGCATCTAGCTGTAGTTATGTGGGAGAATCTATACACATTCTTTCCTAGCAGACTTACCTGTTCTTCGCTGCAGGTTCCAGTGCTGGAGCCGGGAGCGGGGAGTTCCACGTGTACCGGCATCTCCGGCGGCGAGAGTACCAGAGGCAAGATTTCATGGATGCCATGGCTGAGAAGGTCAGCACAACTCTTTATAGTTCCCCCCACCCCTGAATATTCGGTGTTCACCGCAAATCTGTGTTTTCTTTGAAAGTCATGTACAAATAATCCCGTTCTGAGCCACCCCTTGTCAGAGGAGTCTGTAGGAGTGTGTGATCCGTGGCGTCTGTGTCAGTACTGAAACATTTGGTGCTTTGTGTCAGACATGCTCCATCTCCTGTGTTCCCTGGGGTCCTAGCACACAGTAAGACACGTGAGTGTGTGTGTTCTCAGGTTGGCTTGAAAATGCTTTAAAAACTAGAAATCCTTTCTATTATCACTGTCTTGCACAGACAGAATCAAGGCAAGTGCCTGTGCACAGAGTTCAGATGTTTTTTTAAGTTACAGTCGAGTAGAATGGCCTCTCCTTCAGAGAACATTATTGTTATACTCTCTCTTGGCTGAGTCCTTTGATTCATATGTTAATGTTTACGTCTCCAATTATTCACTTGTTTTTACTGACACATTCATTAAGGCAGAAGCCCAACCTTCCTCACCTGTTCTGGTGAGGATTCCTCCCTCAGAACATTTCAATGTTTGGCTCAGGCTGCAGGTTAAAAGCGCTGTCTGTACAGCAGTCATCCCTAAGACATGGCTTTGTATAAAGAAACCAGACAAAATCTGGCAGAGCTCCCTTCTGTATTTTGCTAAAAGATTTTTCCCTAAAAGGACATGACTTTTAAAAGAAGTATTTTAATTTAGATTGTGACCAAAGTATGACGTGTGATCAATTACAGCAAAGACTAGATGAGGAATTCCAGAAGAAACTGGAGAGGAATAAGATGATTGCAGAAGAGCAAACAGCAAAACGCAGAAGGAAGCGGTAAGGGCAGATTTTTCCCAGGAGGCTTGACATGGAAACCCTCACACCCTTGTGCCTCATCTGTAGCTGCATGCTTTGGATGAACGCTGTCATTCTGTGTCTGCATCTATCAGCTGGGAAGTCTGGCTGTGGAAATTAAATTTGTCAGTGTCATTGTTTGGTTTTTAAAGGTAGCTGTAAACCTGACAGGCTTTGCTGGCGTGGTTTGTTCTCGGTGCCATCACTGGCAGGATAACTCGGGACTGGTTGAGCTGCTTTTGCTGACTCCGTGGTCTTGACTGCAACGTGCCTTACTGCATATTTGTTGTAACAGTGTCAGGAAAGGTTTGTGTTTATATCTGGCTTAAATTAACATCTGAATCATCTGATACCAAGCAGCTTCAGTGCAAAACTGGGTGCTGCTTAGTGGATAGGCCACTTCTGCCTGCAGGTCAAGTCTAGTAAGTTAAATGAAAATATTAAAAAAAATATTAAATCCATCTTGCTCTTAAAATCTGACACAGTGACACAGTTACAAGATTGATGGTCTCAAGAAGTAGCCTGAACATCATAGTGCAGTGATACAGGAATTTAAATCCCACTGTCTTTATCCATCACGTGTTTCAGAGATAGCAGAATTTCATGGCCCGGCTCTTTCACAGGATCTGACCCTGAGCAGCCTCTCCCTTGCTGCTTCGCATCCTGTGGCTGAGAGCTGCTGTGGAAAGGCCTGTGCAAAGTGACTCACTGCCATTAACACAGAAGTGCTCAACACAAACACTGTTGCCATCTTAGTTTAATTTACTGTGGTCCAACAGATGGCCACCAAGTCAGATCTGGCCTGCTGCCTCTTCCCTGACTGAGAGGGAGAACAACTGTTCCAACAGCAGATGCTGCCTAAACACTAACACCTCCTTGTCCCCCTTCTACAGTCTAATGGTGCAGGACCCAAGTGGTTTTGCTCTGTAGGAGCCCCTCTAATTTCCCTCACCACCCTTCTCTTCTGTCCTGACCTAACAGTACTTGGCTCTCTCTTTCAAGAGAATTCACTTATGGTGGTGAGAGAGGAACATAAATCCCAGGCTGCTCTGCCCGTGTCTGACATTAACTTGCCTGATTGCCTTTTCTGGGCAAACAAAACTGGGTTTTATGAGCAGCATTTCCCTCTTACTGCTAGTGTTATTCCAAGGACCCAATATCCCGAGGAAGTACAGCCAAAGAGGAAGGTCAAAGCATACTGCACTATATTTTTTAATTTTTTTTTTCAATATAAGTATATATTACTGGTGGTATTTTTCCCCTAGTGTTCAGTTACAGCAGTCTGGGTTTTGACACCATTTTCTCTTTTTTTTTCATTAGCCTAGGTAGCTAAAATATAGGAGCAGTTTCATTTTTGTTCCATTTGTGTTCTTGGAGATTCTTGTGTATCATACAATTTGGGTTGCAGTGGCATCATGGAAGACGTAAAAGATCCATTAGACTAAAATCAACCGAGAAAACTTTCTATTGATCATGTGCTAAGTTTGCTCTTGCTGAATTTTCAGTTAAGGCCAAATTTAAATTGAACTTCTGAAATCAGCTTTTCCGATATGTCCTTTATTAGGGTATGAACATTCAGAAGCTTTACAGTGTAGGATTTGTCACAGGTTCTTTTCCTTTGCTTTGCAGCCAGAAGTTAAAAGAGAAGAAGCTGCAAGCTAAGAAAAATAAACTTGAACAAAAGAAGCAGGAAAAAGGTCAGTGAAATTTATTTTTCTTTCCTCAAGACTCAGTTCCCTAATTGAAGCCTAGAAGAGTTTTTTCCACCCTCCCACCCCGAGCATTCTCAATACATGGATTGAAGCCTGAGCCTTAAGCTTGTTATTTTAGCTAATGTTTCAAAATCCTCTTTGAAAGCCATCTATGTTGAGATTTAATCTTACAAATAACTTGGCTGTTTGTGAATATTTTCCCTTTATTAGGGGAAATTTTGGACAGCAAACATTGGAATCCGATTTGGTTGTTTGTGGATGTTTTGCCCCAGCTATTCTGACAAACTGCAGATTTAGAACATCATCTGCTCAAAAAGGCAGTATTGTTCAAGGCTGTGCGCTTTTTTGATGTATATTTTGAATGCTTATGGAGAAGACAGGTGGAAAAAAAATGCACAGCTTGGGCAGCAAGAAACGATTGTGTGTGTAAGAAATTGAGCCACCTTGGTGCCATCTGTTCCACACAACTATTTTATTTGCATAGAAATAAACATGGGAAACCTGACTGCCTCTGTCCTCCTGCAGTCTTGAAAATTAATGTTCAGCAATGTCAGTGTAACCGTTTGCTCAAACTTTTGTGTATTGTTGCTTCTTTTCAGTGAGTTTATTTTAGCTTACTCTTTCAAATAGTTGTCCTTTGTGGATTAGCTCACTAACTGCAGTAATTCTTAAAGTTACAGCAGTTGCTGGTAATTCTGCTGGAACAGTGACTTGTCTGACAGTTCTACCTTAATTCTGCTTTGCTTTTCAGAGTTGGATCTGTTTCAGCTGAACCATTGCCAGCCTCCCATGTAAACACGGGAGGACAAATTACTTGTTAGGTTAATTTTACTTGTGACAGCAAGTGAATGTAGCAGAGTAAGTTTTTTGGGTGTTTTGTTTTTGTTCTGTTGGGGTTTTTTTTTAAGCTACTCATTTATCACTTGTAACTAGGAGGAGGATTTAAGGATGAGTCAACATAGTTTTTGTTCATTTTGAGTGAACAAAACAGAATACCCATCCCTTTAGGGAGTGGCTGGGAGAGAAGAGAGCTGGATCAGGGACTGGCACTGCTGTGTACCAGTTGTGAGGCTGGAGTGGTTTTGTTTGGCACAAGTTCCTGAAAGACAGAATCCAAACTCCCCTGTCTTTATTACATGTTTAACTCTTTACAGTTTGTGGTTCTCTTTGCAAAATAATAATAATAGTAGTAGTAATAACAATGATAGTAATACCAGTAGAGACAGAAGCCCCTGATAGCCATCTCTATTCTCTACTGAGAACAGCCTTTTCTTTTTCTAGTTTTGTGTGCCCTGATTGAGATCTGAGTTCTCCCAAATGAAGTGAAGTGCATTTGTTGTATGTAGTAGGCAAGCATTTATCTTCCTTTTTGAATGGATTAATGAAACCTCTGAATTGCCATCTTTCACCTTTGTTGTAGTAAATACATTCACAATAAAGGTTGGCAGTGAATCAGGTCAGCTGTTAAAGTTGCATTATTGTACAAACCCCTAAGACAAAATGAAAGTTCAGAACTTCACCACGCGGTGGCATCAGACCACTGATCCTAAATCCAACGTGTAACTGGTCAGGACGTGAGCTTGACTGGGCCTGAGGAACAGTAAAGAGCAGAAAAAGGCAGATTCAGGTCCCACTTGATGCTGTACCTCATTTTCATGATTGGTTATTTAATTTCTAGTAAGTGTTTTCTGGTCTTTTAGCAGGCCTCACGAGTTTTCTGTGACCCTTGTTAACCTTAGACACATTTTAATGGATTCCTGTACTTGCAGTATAGCAAACAGTCTGTAAAAGTTTATGGCAACCTGTGGAGTTTGTCTGTCCTTGGAAAGGTGTAGGAATATACTCAGTCTTGTCCGTGGCTTCCCAGTGCTCTGTAACAGTACTCTGTAATCCTTGAAAGTTCATGCCTACCTGCAGAGGTTGGGAATGAGGTAATCCATCATCCCCGGTGTTTGACTACCTCTCTTTGAAGAAATAATGTTCTATAGGAGGTGGACTTGGTAACACTGGAGGTAAGGGAATATTTCTCCAAGGGGGAATTTGATATTCTGAGCTCCCTGTCTCTGGGTGGAATGAATATAACCTGATACATGTTTCCTGAATATCTGGGACTGCTTAGTTGTGAGATATTTAACAAGGAAGACACAGGGGACTATGTTATCCACCCGTGCTAATTAGCATGACCTAATAATACACATTTCCTTAGCAGCTGGGACTGTTTTGTTGTGAAATACTTGAGAAGGAAGACAGGTGGGAACACCTTATGGATTCACCCTGTTTGTGTTTGCAGAACCTGATCAATCCCAAGAGCAAGGCAGCAGCGAGGATGACGAAGAGGACAGCAAGGAGGAGGAAGAGAAGGAAGATGACGCTGAAGAGCCAAGTTTTGTGATGGGAAGAGGATGAGGCCTTTCAGGGACAGCTGGAAACACTGTTCATTGCTTTATATCCAGGAGCATGAAAGCCTTTCATCTCAGCCAAGCAGAACCCATTGGCCGTACGTTACATCTGCTTAACGGGGCATGGCCTTCACGTCACAGGCCCGAGAGATAATGATAGAGAAATGCCAAATAAGAGATTTTTTTCTTAATTGCTTGTATAACTGCTGTGCAGTCTGCTCTAAGTTTGCTCTAAAGAGTCAGCCATAAGTCTCTGTGACCCTGGAGTTCTTTCTAACGTGGCCCAGAGTGTTTTTCTGTCTGAAAGCTAAAACATATCCATTACCATTTAAGGGAAATATTACTGTGAAGGCTACGTATTCTACTTATGGCGGAGCTGGTAGCAGTGGGATACATGAATCTAAGGGAAGAGTTCAACCTGAAGTAGAAAAGTGGTCTGTAGCCAGACTCTCCTGCACTGTGAGTGTTCTGAATTTGGGGTTTTGTATGGGGTCATCTCTAACCCAAAGAAATCAGTTTATGTTGCTAGACAAGTTCTATAGATTTTTAATCGGGATCCCTTTTTTATTGCTAAAACTTTTCCCTATTGCTTTTCTTCCGTGTTTTTTAAATTAATAAAAGGGATGTGTTGGATTGTTCTGTCTTCTATTTTATTTTTTTTTAAGAGGATTTCAGTAAAATAAAGAGATGCTTACAGGGCTGCAGAAAAGGAGAAAGAGATCAAGTGATTTGGCACACGTGAAAGTATGGAAAAGGTGTTAGCTGCATGCCACTTAGTTTTTGCTTTTGGACTGGAACAATGTATTTTCCCAAAGATTATGTCTGTAAAGCCTCCAGATCCTGTGGTAGAAAGGCTTGGAATGGAATCATTCTGCTTATGTTACAGCTTCATGTAATGACACCTGCCTTTCTCTCTGCTTGAGCTCTCTGCTTTGCACTTTGGATTCCCCAGGAGGAATGATAACATCTATATATACATTTACTTACTGGTGCTTAAATGAAAAGCATATGCAGTGGTAGTTTTACTTGTAACTTTGATTGTTGTCTTTTCAGTGTATCTTTAATTAGAAGTGCCTGCTGGCTTTCAGACGTGCTCATCCCAGAGCCTTGCATCCAGAATGTGGTGCTACTTCTTCTCAAACCTTGGTTAATGCCAAATTATTTTAAGCAAAAACAGTAAAAAGGGAGGATCTCTTTTTAGATTTATCCTTTGTTGAGCAGTGCTGCCAGAAATCCTGCATTTTGTCTGAGCTGGCTTTATGTAATGGCTTCTCAGTGGTGTTACTGTGGTGGCTGGGAAGCAGATGTGATCAAGTGCAAGTGATGTTTGTGTTTAGTTCCCCTGTACATACCTAAAAAATTTAGAGCTGGATAACTTTTGACCTGCAAGGTCTATATCCCAGCTGTCCTCCCTGCCAAGTTAGAGATCTGCATGGAACTGTTTTCTGCTCAGTCTCCACAGAGGCAGGTTGTGGCAATGTTTCATTCCTGAGCACTTCTGGTGCAGGATGGATGTTCTGCACCTGGCATTTTCCCTGTGGAGAGATGAGTTATGGGCACTGCTTCACGTGAATCCCCCTTAGGGCTGGCAAACCCTGTGGATACTGTGGGATGAGCCATAAAAATACAGTGTTTTTTATGGACAGAGAAGAACTGAGAGCCTCACAAATAAAGATGTTCTGCCTCTGAGCTTGTCAGGCCTTTGAGCTAAGTCCTGTTCTGCATTAAGTAGAGCAGATGTTGGTGATTGAACAAATACAGGTTTGTGTGGCCTCATCCTGCCTCCTTAAGATGCCATCCTTACCCGTGCTGAATTATTCATGCTCTCCATTTTGCAGGAATGCCGAGTTTGTAGGTGAAATCCATAAACAGCAAAGAGAACATGTTGGTGAAGGTGGGATCTGCCTCACGGTCTGTCTCGCTGGGGTGGCTCAGTGTAGCAGTAGGAGCTGTATTTGGTAGGTGTTGCTGTGAATTCCAAAAAATACTCTGCCGTGTTGTGGTTGTTCGCGGCAGTACGAGCTCGTTGAGAATACAGAGCACTTCAAAGGGAGGTTCCGAGGGATGTTTCTTTGTTAAGACAAAAATGCAGGTACTCTGTGACCTCAAAACTGGGTAAACGTCATCCACAGAGTAGAAAAAGGGAAGTACTCCTGTGTGTAGTAAATCGAGGAACAACTCTACAACTGCTTCCTATTGTAAATAGGGCCCTGACAAAGCAGTAATAATTTAAAGGCTTAAAACTGCCCGGGAGTTTAACCTGCTTACGTTAAATTCTCTTTCTGGATTCTTTTCTAGAAGAGTCCCTCTCCTTTCCCTGATGGAGACTAATCTTCAGGGGTTAAAGTTTGCCCTGTTCCAATTCTACACGTGGGACTCCGAGCGACAGCGGGCTTAGTACTAAAACCGAGCAGAGGTGCTCCTGATCGCAGAGGTGAAAAGCACACTCGGGATAAAAAAAATATATCTGTCTCTTTATTAGGTTTTTGGGAAGTGTTTTCCTGTCTCTTCCCTCCCCCCGGGCAGAAGGGAATTCAGGATGATGGGATTACCCTGTGATAAAGCTGACCCATTGTGCTGCCTTTCGGCATTTTCTTTATCTCGTTTCCAGGGAAGGAACTCCCTCTCTTTCCCATAAGGCTGTCCCTGTCCTTTTGATGGGTTTATACAGGATTTCCTGCTGAGTCAATAGAGGAGGAGTGCAGGGAGATAGCAGCCGGGATTCCAGGGCGCCGGAGGAGGTTGCAGCCCGGCGGAGGCAGAGCCTTTTGTCTTATGTAAGTGGCGACTTTTTGCTGTGTAATTAACAACTGTAATAAAAGCACATTTGCATCCCATTGCACCAATACCTTCTCTGTGCCAAGACTTAGAGATAACGCCAGCCCCAGACCCGCCACCACCGTCACCAGTGGGGGATTTTCAGCCCGACCGTGATTTCAGGGATCCGCAGAGCTGGCTGGTTTTTTTTTTTTAACCTGCCAGATGCGCCTTGACGGGCTGCGACCCCCGGGATCCCACCCGGCTGCGGGTGCCGGGGGCTGCCCTTCCATTGTGACCGCTGAGTACGCCCCCAGTGTGGCGGGACCCCCAAAATCCTCGGGGTCGGGGGGGTCGCGGGTGGGGTCTCCTCCCCAGGCCCCGCCCCCGCCGCCAAGGGAGGCGTGGTCTGGCAGCGCCGCGGCCCAATCAGAGCGCGGTCACGTGCGGGGGCGTGGCGGCGCACCCGCCTCGTTTCCTGCGGGTCACGTGGCCCGTGCCCGGCGTTGCCGTGGCAGCGGCGGAGGCGGCTCCAGCTCCGGCTCCCGATCCCGATCCCGGCTCCGGCTCCAGCTCCGGCTCTCCCGCTCCCGCCCGCGATCCCGGGGCTCCCGGCCCGGCCCCCGGACAGCAGCGCGGTGAGCCACGGCCCGCCCCCGCATCCCGCCCCGAGGTGGGGTGGGGGCTGCCCCCCGGCGGGCCCCGCACTCTGGGGGTAGTGGGGGCATCCCTTCCGTGTTTGGGGTGCGGAGGTGGGAGCGTGCCCTGCCCACCGGGACGAGGGGGGGTCTCATCTTGCCCGGGGAAGTTGGTCTGACCCTGCGTGGATGGGGATTCCCTTGCGCGGGGTGGTGGGAATGGCACGCGCCTCGTCCTGCCCGCGCAGGGAGAATCCCTGGATCGGGATGGTGGAGGTGGGAACGCGCCTCATCCTGCTCCGCTGGGGGCTGTCCCCTGCCCGGGGCGGTGGGGTTGAGAGGGAAGGGGGTCCCGTCCTGCCCGGCGGTGCTCTGCAGGTCCCTTGGGATGCAGAGGGCAGGCTGGCGCCCCGGGAATGTGTCCGGACAGGAATCCTCGCCGGGGGTGCTGTGGGGAGACACCTCCAGCCTGCGGCGTCGGGAAGCCGCTGGCCCAGGGTGCTGTTGGAAAAGGGGATCGAGGGACTGGGGGGGAACCTTGGGATGCTAGATAGGGAGCTAGTGGCAGGAGATCGCATTCTGCCTAGGAAGGATCTGCCCAGGTTGCTGTGGAGGGAAAGGTTCTGCCTGTGAGTGGGTCTTATCCTGGCCTGGGGGATCCCCTGTCTGAGGGTGCTGCTGGAAGGGGGATCGTCCCTTACATCCTGCACGGGTGTGCTGAGGGTGGCTGGGAAAGAGGAGGAGAAATCCACTGCTCGGGCAGTGCCCTGTGAGTGGGATCCCAGCTGTGGTGATGGGGTGAGGGATCATATCCTGCTTGGGAGGTGATCCCCTGCTGCCATAAGGGAGGTCACAGCTGTGGGGTGTTCACACCCTGCCTGGGTGCTGTGACACCCCAGGGGTGCTTCTGGGGGGCCCTGAGCCAGAAGGGGACATACAAAGGGATTCCCCGCAGCAAAGAGGGCCTGAGCTCTTGGAAGAGGAGTAGCAGGGCCTGGGGTTTTGCTTAGCCATGGCCTGCGGGGGGCTGGATGATGTTACACAGGAAAGAAAGGCTTTGGTACAAACCCACTGACCAGTCTGGGGGTGTGGGGCAGAAATCTGTGTCCGAGGAGGGGGCCAGCATCCCAAAACCAGGCAGGGAAGCTGCCAGTGCTGCTGAGACAGATCTGCATATCTCATCTTGTTGGCATCGGCTTCGTTCTCTGCTGTGGAGAAATCCCTGCTCGTGTGCTTGCAGCGGGGCACGGAGATGTGAGGCACGGCAGAGGCTTTCCCTGGGGCAGGGTAATGAGATCAATGTGAGGGAGCAATAACAGAGAGCTTTCCATCTCACCAGTGTGAGATGAAGTGGGGTCAGATGCGTTGGTGGTGCAATAGAAGCGAGTGAAGATGCAGCTGGGATGGACTTTGCCAGAGCTGGCAGAGGAAGAGGTCTCCCGGGGAAGTCCTCATTCTCCATCCAAAACTCGGCAGCCATGTGCAGTGAAACCCTGTAGGACAGTTATTTCTGTAAGAGCAAGTGTGCTAAACCTTTAACTGTGCAAGGCAGGAACGTGAAATCTTCAGAATAACCCTGCCCGGGTGCCGATAACTGTCTGAAAAGTATTTCCAGAGTAAAACTGCTTCAGACACAGTGCATGAAAAATGCTTCTTTTGTTGTGTTTCAGCCCCTGGAGCCCACCACCCACTTCCTCCATGTCCATAGCCAGCCAGGTGAGTTTGCCATCCTGGTACTGCTTGTTTGGGCTACGTTTGTGTTTATGGATTTTTATTCTAAAGTTGTTTACTTATTTGAGAACATCTCTTGAGCTGCTCCAGAGTGAAAATTCATCCTTGTGGTATTTTTAGCTTATTTTTCTAATGAAAGAAGCAGATGTGATTGGGTGCTCTTGCCCTCTCTCTGCAACCTCTGAATTCATTTGTCTTTTCAGTGGAATTTGTCCCAGGGGTCAAAGCTTCCTACATAAAAAGTTCCTGCGTATTTTTTGAAAACAAATGGCAGACTAGAGGCCATCGCTGTACCAGCTGGGGACAAAGTCCATAAATTCCCTCCACACTGTACATTGCAGAATCCACACAGGATGTTGTCACAGGAAACAGCTTCATAATTTTGCTGCTCACAGACTGTTTCTGCCTCCGATCCTCCCAGGAGGCCTTTTTCTTCTTCTCTAAAATAGGTGATTCTTGCCTTTTCTTGAAACACAGAGCAAGCAGGAAGGGTTGTCCTTCTTACTGTCTCCTTGCTTTTATTGTTGCATGTATATTATTTTATGCCTTTTTTTTTTAATATTTTGAAAACTCCTGAGCAGGTCAGGAGCCATCCTATAGTTCTCAGTGTAGTGGTGGCTTTGTCAAAAACTGCCCAGGAATGATCTTGTGCTCTTGCTGCCATCCTTATTATGTCTGAGGGGGCTGGAACACGAAAGCCCCCTGTGTTCAGGAGGGACAATCTTGTGACCTGCCATGCTTTGTTTGCTGCTGCAGTGTAATCTTTGTTATTGTGCCTGAAACAGCTTTGTTCCCTTTTAGTGACAGCATTCAGAGTTGTGGGCAGTTGATGTCCTTTCGATCTTTGCCACTCCTTCAAATCTCACACCAGCCATGGCTTTATTAGCTGTCCCCATGTGTCCCCTGCATGTGGAGACCTGGGGCGGTGTGGGAGTGAGCAGCAAGGTGCCTGTGACCTTGAGGTGTGGTGCTGGGACTAATTAGTACCACACCAGGTGTGATTCTGGGCAGGCATCTCCTCCTGCTAGGAGCTGGTGGGTATTTTATGGCCAGAAGGTGCAGCTGTAATGTCAATGGCAGAGTTGTGAGTGCGGGGATTAGCTGGAAGATCGTAGTTTCCATTCTTTGGAAGGCCGAGTTAAACATTAGTTTCAGATGTTTGCCAGGGTTGAGAATTTTTTGCTCAAAACATTCCATGGATCCTGCCCTGTGTCTATGGATGGCACAGAGATCACCAGAGCCATTCAACAGCAGCCTGGTGATGTGGTGGTGTAAGGAGGGTGGTTTGGACCCCACACTTGCCTCTGTGGCATTCACCACCTGAAATACTCTTGCTCCTTTCATCTATCTCTCAGTGTAATCTCTTGAATCTGAAGATGATGAAATTTCCTGGAGGCAGCTTACTTTTCCCCATGGAATTGTCTTTTCCTTTCCTCGTGCTCAGAGCCACTGGTAGAATTAAGGGAATGGGATTCTTGCTCAGATGTGGCTGATAAATGGAGTGTGAGCAGTTCAGGAAATTGAAATTCCCACTGCAAGAGCTTGGGAAGTTCATTTGTTAATCCTACACAGCAGTCAGCTCTGTGTCTTTTGGGGGAGGCTGGGAAAGAAAACTGTGCCTGTGTGAAATGAGCCATGAGGAGCAATGGTTTAACTGAGAAAAACTGGTTTGCAAAGAAGGAGCAAAAAGTGACTCCCTGAACTGGTGTCACTTTGATTCTCTAAGGAGATGCATTTGGAGCCAGTCCATGATGCACTGGGAAATGAACTGTCAGCTCAAAACAAAATTATAAGATGGGGACCCTACTGCCAAAATGTCATCTGTAAAACAATTCTTTTATTAGCAAGGAGGAATTAGAGGGCAAAGTCAAGGTGCCAGCTCTGAAATGAAAAGCCTGATGCTGTGCAGCCTTCCTGAATTCCTGCTGGAGTAGTTTCTGAGTTTACCTGTATAATCTCTCCTAGTTCCTATGGTCGTTTTTGTCAATCAGGGACCATCCTTTCTCAGTTCTGTGCCTTGCAAGTGTGTTGGCATTTGGTCCATCATTTCCCACCGATCAAGGGCAACTTTGTTCCTCCGTAGCTTTTCCGGTAGCTGATGCTCGTCCTGTCTGCCTGAACGTGACTGTTTTATTCCCTCAGCGTTTCTCTCACCATGAGTTCTGAATTAAACGTCCCGGTGGATCCCTCCACCCCTGCTTGCTGCTCTGAGCCTGGCACGAAGGGCATGGATTACCGGGACTGGGTCCGGCGCAGCTACCTGGAACTGGTCACCTCAAACCACCACTCTGTTCAAGCCCTTTCCTGGAGAAAGTTGTACCTGAGCCGAGCCAAACTGAAAGCTTCCAGCAGAACCTCTGCTCTGCTCTCTGGATTTGCCATGGTAGGTGTGTTTTCTAGTTTTCTGAGTCGCGAAGGTTTTGTCTCTCTAAAATCATCTGTTGATCGGCGTTTTCCTCCTGGGAACAAGCAGGACATGCTGTTGTTTCCTGAAAGAGGCTGCTGCTGCAAAGTTTGAGGCTGGCTCTCTCAAGGCAGCACTGATACATGAGCTAAGACAACCCACACGCTCCCAAGTCAGCTCTTTAAAAATACTAATCCCCTACCTGCAAGTGTTCCACCAGCAGTGCTGAACAGTCCAGGACCTGAGCTCTCCTTTGGCCCTGAGGCCGTTCATCCCTTGCTGCCTTTACTTTGCCCATGGGAGAGGTTGCTCGTGGGCGTGGAGTTCCCCCAGGCCCCTGTGGTTGCTGTGGTCCTGAACGTTACTTTAATTTCTGTGTGTGTTTTCTCAGGTCACGGTGTCTAAAATAAGGTGGAGGTTGGGTCGCAGTCTGCCAAAGAGAAGTTTGCGTAGCGCGATCAGGGAGATCGTGTTATACACTGAGGTGTGAGAAGAGGCCCTGAGCCTCAGACCTCATGTCAGAGGGCTCTGTAGCCTGAAGGGAGCCAAACCCAGTATATTTTTGTCAGTGCTGCCTATTGGAAGTAATCCCTGGTGCTGGCTTTCCACTGTGTTGCACTTGGGTGCTATCTGGAAGGTATTTGCATAGGTCAAAACCATGTGAGGAGTAAGCAAATAAACAAGACTGAGACAGTCTGGTCCAGTGCTCAGGCCCATTCAGCACGGCTCTGCTGTGTCAGTGTGAGCCCCTTCATCTCCCCTCTGTTTCTTGCTTACTGGGAGTGAGAATTGAAACCAGTTTGGGGGAGGTTTTCTGCTCAGGAAATGGGCAGGTCTGGTTGTTCCTGAGGTCTCTCAGCAGAGGGGCAGAGGGCAGTGCCTGGTGCGTGGGACGCGATGTGAGGATGTTGCATCCTGCAGCTCAGAAGCTGTGGGGGGGAAGACAGATCTTTCCAGATAGCCTTTCTTGTTTTATTTTAGCTTTTTCCGCTGCTTTTTCCTCCCCCAGTCCCCCAGACCATGAATCATCCGTAACATTTCAGCAGTCTGGGATGACAGAGTTGGTCACCCAAAGTGAAGCTGGAAAGCTGCAGGTGGGGGGTTCAGTGGGAGCAGGCTGGACGGGGAGAGGGTGCTCGGGGGGGGGTTGTTTCCTTTCCACTCTTCTATCTGTGTGCAAGAGATGCTCATCAAAGCTTTTCACAAAGTCTTTGGTGGTTTATAACCAAACTTGTGTGCTGCAAGGGCAGAATGTCCCCTCTTTTGAGAAAGCCGGGTGCTCTCCTGTAGACTCCTTTCACTCAGTTTCCTTACTCTAAAAAGCCTCTCACGTGCTTGCCCTGTGGGCCTCTGGAGTTCCATGTTAGTCATTTGTTAGACCATTCTCTTTAACATGGTTATTACATTAACATTTTGTGGTGGTGTGGGCTGATCTACCAGCGTGGTCCCACGAGGTGTCCGTGCTGGGCTGTGCTCTCACTGGCATCACTGGACTCAGGGGCTTGCAGCCCACCCACACTGCAGGGCACTGAAAACAAAGCATGCCTTCTCAACTCACACAACAGAAAGTTGCTGGAAGTCCTTGGCAAACACACAGAGTTAACCATTGGTTTTGTGTTCTCTTTAAACTGTTTAAAATGCAAGTCCAATAAACACACAGAGCTAAGCAGTGTAATTATGACCACCAGCCTAACATATAAGAGCTACACCTGAAATCAGTAACTGTAAGACATAAAATCTCTTGCAATAAGGAATTCTTTTTATTAGCAAGCTTTTTCCCAGCTAATTGGACCTTCCTGTGAAAGCTGAGGTGTTTGTTCCTATTGGGTTGGTTCTCCCCTGGTAATTTGGCATGCAGGTATTTAGTACACGGATGTTTACTCTATTAAGAGCACCTATTTGGCTGTTGATGAAAGAAGAGAAGTTATTTTGAGATAAATGTGTGCAGACGTGGCACTCAGGGACATGGTTTAGCGGTGGACTTGGCAGTGCTGGGGGAACGGTTGGACTCGGTGATCTTGACGGTCTTTTCCAAGCTAAACGATTCTGTGATTCTACGAAATAGTTTCCCTGAAGCCTTGAGTGCATTTAACTGTGTAAACAAATGTCATTCAGGGCTTGGCTATTGCTTTATTTACTTCGCTGTCGGTGTGTTTGATTCGAGCCAGTTCCATATTGGCCGAAAATTATTGTGAGCTGATGGATATTTAATCAACAGGCGATGGCTCTGATCCAGCTTCTTCTGGACAGGCTGCAGAATAATGCAAACCTTCCTTGTTACCATCTCTGGTATGTCTGGCAGAGAGTTGGGCAGATCAGGAGGATGTGGGCCATTCTAGTGCCATGTCTGCTTGGAGATGGGTTGTAGGGTGACTGCATTCGCCCCGAGGAGGCTGCAGATAAAGGAAATTTAGAGGGAGCTTAGGAGACCTCCTTAATAATTTTCCTGATGGAAATAAGAGCTATTACTGCTAATCCATCTTCTCAATACTTGTCCAGTTGCTACAGGATATGTATTTGATTTAAAAAAAAAGACAAAACAAAAACCCTAACAGATCTACTGGAGTGATTTTTACAGGCTGCCAAACCATCTGTGTGAATGTGTCATGGTTTATGTTAAGCCATTTGTCATCCTTTTGCCTGTTATTATCTGTCCTGGTCTGAATTTTTCAAGATGAGTATAATTTTTGTTGTGGATAATCGGGGCCATACTGGTCTAAAACCCACTATCATTGCATGTAGTTTAATTGCAGTTTAATTCTAAAATGTTCTGAGCACTCGGTCCTGTGAGCCTGGAGTTCAACGGGGTGATTCTCAAGCTTAAAATTAAGCCCATGCTGAAATACTCCATGGCTTGGCACAGTGCTCAGCCTTGCAAAGTGGCTTCTGAGAAGAGGTTAAAATAAAGGGGGCTGTTGCAGGGAAGAGTATAATTGTATCAAACATGACATATTAATAGTTTTACAGGCTAGGCAGCATATTTAATGATTTTTAAATGGGTTATGTCAGCTTGTCCTCTTTCTCTTATCCCGGTCAGGGAATGACATGACAGGCTGTGCAGGGTAAAGCAATCAGGGCTCACTCACCTTTTCAGCACTTGTTTGGGTTAAATGAACTGGTTTTCTGCCTTGCTGCCCTATCTGGATTGTTGATGTTTTCCCCTGAAATACCTCTTACTGAGCCATCAGTCAGTGTTAAAAATTCATCACATTGCACAGCTGAAGCCAGCCCTAGGGAATAGGTTAGTCTGGGAGGAAACATCCAATTAGCTGAAAAGCGCTGCTCATGTGGAGGATAACAAGCAGAAATTGATATGTTGACATGAGCCAGGCTTTCAGCTTTAATATAAAGCTATAAATTGAACATGCAGGTACAATTCCCATTCAGCTGGCTGAATACCACGTCTCTGGCTATTACAGCACCCACTAATGAACAATATACCTGCAGCTTTTCCTGGCTGATGGGGTGTGACTGGCAACCACAGAGCTGTACAAATTCATTGTACGTGGAGAATAAGTCTGATCCCCTCCCTCTCGAATCAATATAAGGAGAATTGCAAAGAGAACGTGCACAAGGCCATGTGAAATGTGTTTTAATTAAATTAACCTTGCAACAGATAGAAGGCCAATCCTGTGTTAATATTTTCTTTGCTGTACAACAAGAACTACTGTAAACTGCAAACAGGAACCTATAAAAACAAACAAACAAACAAAGTAAACTCTCCACATGTTCATAATCAGGACAAAATGCTAGGAATATCCCAAGAACTGTCACAATATTTTTCGAGTCTCTAAAATCCTAAGTAGTTGCTGAAGGTATAAATCTGGGCTTGTAGACCATTTGCCACGTCTTATGTCTTGGTTGCTGCTAAATGTGTTCAGAGTTGACAGTGATCCTCTCATTCAGGCTGCTGATGGTTTCAGAGTAAATGCAGGTAAGGCAGCAGTCATGCCAACTGGCTTCCATCCCCTTTAATCCTTTTTAGGGCTTCCAACAGGGAGAACATGGGCAGACCCCTAATCTTCCAGTGCCTAAATAATATTATTAACAAGTAATGCCAGAGTGAGCGGTGCAGGTGATTATACAGAGCCTGAAATGGCTGCTCGGGGGGTGTCTCATGAAGTCTGGATAAAGTAATCATGAGTCAGTTCTGCAAAATCCTTCAGTGTCCCAGAATTGAGCTGCTTGTTCAGACTTTGCCTTGTCATGATGGTCTTGGGAGGCACTGCCCTGAGTCAGGAACCCAAGCATGGCTTCTTTCCACGTAGCTGTGCCGTGCCGGAGCAGCAGATCCCCTGGGATCACCAGAGGTTTTGCTTGCTGCCAGGAGAGTTAACGTGTCTGCAAATCATGAAGTGCAGCTGCAGATCCAAGCCAGCTGCTAGAGAGGAATGTTTGATAGTCTTCTCCACTGCTTTTGTGGCTTCTCTTAGCGAAAAAGGTTTGTGCAGTCCTTTCAGGGATGCTACCACAGAGAAGTACTGGTTTACTTCATAGGTAGGTTAAGTAATTGTACAAATTTCTATGCTAAACCAGTTAACAGGCTTGTACTAGTACTCCAGTTCTGATCTCAGAAGAGCCTCCTGCTCTCTTGCACATATTCTGCTTCTTAAGCTTTATTTGATAAAATTAAAAATAGCTTTAGAGACCTGCTCTTGTTTTGGGAAGGAGACTTCTCTCTGAGTTGCTGAGCACACCCATAAGGCAGTAGCTGTCCACTACTGCTGAGTGTATCAGTAACTTATTAGCCCTCAAGGGAGAAATTTGAGGATATAAATAACTTGTATCTGGGCATATTTGTAATAAAACCAAACGTAAACTGTTCTGAGAATAGAAGGCAGCTATTTTAACTACGGGGCTGACTTAAACTGCGAAGTAGCTTGTGTGCTTCCCAAGGGGAGGCAGTGAAACCTGGCTGGCCACTGGCCAGGGAGCTGCTTGGGTTTTGCTTTTCTTTACACGCCCGCAGTCGAAACTTCCTGCGCTGCAGCCGGGAGTGCGGGGCGGAAGGAGAAGGTGTGAGGGGGGGAGGCCTGGCAGGCTGTCAGCCGCCTCCCCACCCCACGTGCTGTCTGATGAGTCCCTTCTGCTGCGCCTTGGGGTTGATGCAGCTCGTATGGCCCGTGGCTGCAGGGAGAGATGCGTTACGTTAGAAAAGAAACCGGCGGCGCAGAAACTTCCCGAGCCTCGCAAAGGCCACGGCACAGGCTGTGTGAGGAACAGCAGTGATCCATCCCAGCTGCCGTTCCAGAAAGCGCTTGAGTGTGTACTTGACCTTAGGTGTTCTTCCTGAATAAAGATGCTTTCCGGGATGGAAGCCTTGAAAGGAGGGAAAGCTGGCAGCTGTTGACGAGCTCTCTGTTCCTTGGTTCCAGGTTGCCATGGTGGAGGTGCAGCTGGAGGTGCAGTACAAGTACCCCCAGATGCTGCTGATCGCCTTCAGTGCCTGCACGACGGTGCTCGTGGCGGTTCATCTCTTTGCCCTCCTCATCAGCACCTGCATTCTGCCCAACGTGGAGGCAGTGAGCAACATCCACAACCTGAACTCCATCAGCGAGTCCCCCCACGAGCGCATGCACCCCTACATCGAGCTGGCCTGGGGCTTCTCCACCGTCCTGGGGATCCTCCTTTTCCTCGCGGAGGTCGTGCTGCTGTGCTGGATAAAATTCCTGCCTGTGGGCTCCATCCTGAAGAACGAGACCACCAACGTGGAGAAGCCCAGCAGCCACGCAGGGTGGCAGTCAGCACTGGTCTCCACCATCATCATGGTCCCCGTGGGCCTGATTTTTGTTGTCTTCACCATTCACTTCTACCGCTCCTTGGTGCGGCACAAAACGGAGCGGCACAACCGGGAGATCGAGGAGCTCCACAAACTGAAAGTGCAGTTAGACGGGCATGACAGAGGCATGCAGGTGGTGTGACAGAGCCTGCACACCCCCTCAGCTGGGGCTGAGGGCAGCACACCCGGTTTGCTACTCGGTGGGACGCACCAGTGGTGGATTGTCTTGAGGCTTCAATCTGTAAATGCTAATTGCCTGCCATTTCTAGCTGTGGGTTCTTGTGCTGTTTCACATGCTGGGGTCTCTGGCCTGATTCTGGTCCTGCACACTTGGTACTTGAGTTGACACTGCCGTGGAGTTCAAGGTCAAAACTTTACCTTAACGTGGGTTCAGGTAGCCAAAAATCTGTGTTTTTTTTACGAATGCAATATTCTGTTGCCAAAAGTAAAACTGCATCAGCTTCCAAAAAGCCAGTGTGTGTAGGACCTGTCTTGCATGTCAGAACTCCCTGGCTGTCAGTGCAGCCACAATTAACTGGCAGCTCATTTCTAGAGCAGAGCTGGTTAATGTGGGTACCTGCAGCTGACTCAAGGACATCCAGGAAAGCACAACAGAAACCGAGAGTGTTGATCACCGTTGTTCCAAAGCAAGTATTCCATAAATACATAACCAGAAAGAAATCAGCCTTAGCTTTTTTGTTCTTTTCTTGCTGTTCTTTACTATATTTTTACAGCTGGGGATGTAGAATTTTGAGTTGCAGGAGGCTGGGAAGTTCTCTCATACTTTTTTTCAGCAGCATCTGTCACTTTAGATCGAATGAGTGCCAAGATCATGTGTTTTTTCCCAAGAAGAGGCAAGAGTGCCCAGGGAAGGCTTACAGGTGTTTTAGTTCTAACAAGGACATTCTTAAAACAGAACAGTGACGGGGAATTTAATGAGACAAAACTTTGAAGGACTAGCAAGGCGAGTTTCAAGGAGGTAAGGAGTGACAGCAAATATTGTACGAATCTGTTGCTGTGTCTTCTTCATTCGTGTGTTGCTGCGATGCCTCTTGCCTGTTTTGCTGGAGAGAACAAGCCCAGTCCTGTGTATTCCATCACTTGGCTTTTTTTAACTGGCTGTAGCATTTTTCTGTCAGAAATGAATGCTTCCTTCTCCCTCCACCAAAGCAGGCAGCTCCTCTGGTGGAACCTGGAGCTGTGCTGGCGAGCCTGATGGAGCTGGATCCGGCGGGAATGCTGTGTGCCATTAAAGAGCTATCCATTTCCCTTGAGCTCATTTCTTTTTTCAGCAGCTGAGACAATGACACTTGCATGTGTGTGTTGCTTAGCAAGGGAAGCTTGTAAATTCTGTAGCATCCTTGTGGGTGAAAAACTTCTGTAAAAAACCCAATGTTATGATTTTTAGTAACTTCGTGGAGGGAAAAGAGTGTTTTGCAACTGTGAGCTCTTTGAAGGGAAAATAAGGCTTTCTGCCACACAGGGCTGCAAGAAGCATAAGCACATTTTCTTGGCCCTGATCCTGTGCTGATTTCCTCCTCTGCACTCAAAAACTGCAGTTTCAGAGTCTCCAAGGCCTTACAGGTTTCTGAAATCATTAAGGATGTTTGTAATGTTCTATTTAACCCTGGTCCCTTATTCCACTGGGATTTGAGAAATCTAATGGCAGTGTATTATTACATGTCAGCTTCCCAGAACGGAGAGTACATGCAAACCCCTGGGCAGCAGGGTGAGACTATCCCAGTATCCCTCTCTGGTGAGGGCCTTGGGAAACCAACTCTCATCTCTCTTGTTTACATGCGAATGTGAGCGTTGCTGAACAAGTTGCTTAGCACTGTGTCTGTGGCTTTCATCTGCTGTTCTTGCTGCAGTTGGCATGTACCATATTGGCTGATGTGCAGCAAAGAAAAATAAGCTTTGTGTGCTAAATGACTAATCTGTACTCATGTGCATATGCAAAAAAATAAGGAGTGTCCTCCAGGAAGGGGGTGGTCCTGAAATTCATACAAACTCCCCAGGAATCCGCCCTCTCTCCCTTTCCTCTTTTTACCATAATAAAAATTAAAGGTTTATACAACAAAATCAGAGTTGAGTTTTCTGCCAGGTATTACACGTGTGGGCTCTTCCACCAGGAGAATTTCTGTTGTGAGGCCAGAGCCAGACCAGATGGGATGAGTCTCTCATCTGTACTTTGCACTCTCCTTTAACATCAGTAATAGTACCCTCGTGTACTGAGGATGCTCAGGAAGTTGTCGAGGAAAGCGTTGGGCCATTTTTGTAATTTCAAAGAAAAGGTTTCCCCATGTGCACACAGGGCTGTGAAAGCAATGCAGCTTGTTTGGAAACAGCCAATTTGTTAATTGAACTTTTTGCAAGTATAATGAACTTCAGCAAATGGAGAAATGCAGCAGAAACTGTGCTTTGATTTTTGTAGAATAACTCGTTGAGGCTTTGGTGGGATTGGATTCAAGATCAGTCTCAAGGCAGAGCATCTGTGACTGGAGTGGGATCGCCTTTACTCCAGGGGGAGTCTGAGGTATGGTTTGGGATGGTGTCCCTGGGGCAAATGTACTTAAAACAGAATAATGACGTGCTTTCCCATCTTTGCTTGCAGCTCTGTGTCTTGTGTCTCTCTGGGCACTGAGTTCTCCCTTCCATGAGAAGCCCTTGGGAGTATTTTTGCTCATTGGCTGTGGCACCTGGGATCTCTCTGGGATCACCTTAGTGCTGTAACTCCTCTCCTTTCCCAACAACAGCATTTGCTTTTCTTGCTCCTGCATCTCTTCCTTCAACTTGTTTACGTTTTCACCTCTGTTGTGTCCAGACTTGTGTTGCAGATAGGTTACCTGTGGTACCAGCCATAGCAGTTCATCCATAAAGGAAGGAGTAGGGATGTTGTGGTTGTCCAGGTGGGTGTTTCTGTGCTGCAGCACCAGAAAACCCCTGCTCCTGCTGCTGCCCATGGCTGTCAGCAGGATTCCCATCAGTGAAGCATGAAGATTCCAGCCTTTCCACACTGTCACTGCTGTCCCAGCAGGGCTGTGTCATGTCTGGATTTGCCTGTCCCTTGCTGTCACCTCTCTGTCGTTCCTGGGGTGTCTGTTTGTCATTCCTGGAGTGTCCCAGGTTTTGTGTGGCTCCGTTCCTGCAATTCCTGCCCAGAGATGCTTCTCCCAAGGGTTCCACCCTCGGCTGGGGACATGTGATAAGGATCTCCCTGACCTGTGTGTTGGTTTTCTGTACCAGCCTTGGACCCTGGGCTGCTGCACCCTGGGGTGGCTGTTGCCCTGATTCTCAGCCCCCTTGGGCTGTGACTTGCTGGACCAGTTATTACCTTATTTGGGCCATTTCTCCAGTTTTTGCTCTGGGGCTTAGCACAGGGACAGCCATGATCTCACCCGAGAGTCCTGAGTCTTCCTCCAGATTTTTTTTTGGACAGCTTTTGCCCAGCAGAGAAATGCCTCTGCAGACTGCAGCACTGCAGGGACCTTGCCTGCCTCTCCTACAGCAGGGAAGGAGCTGTCAAAGACAAGGGTACAGCCCTCATTTGCATCATTCCCAGGCACCTGCCTTGTTTTAGGAGGCAACTTCTCTCCTTCCCTCGTTAGCAGGAGCAAAGGCAGTGCAGGACTGGGAGCCGGAGGGAGCTGTGGGAGCCAGAGCAGTGTCAGGTTCTCCCTTCGCTGTGTTCAGTGGCAGCTCTCACTCTGTGAGCTCCCTATTTTTAACATCACCCCAGGGCAGGCCCGGCTCCCGTTGTTTCGGTGGGTATGTGACTCTGAGAGGGACTTTATGACCAGGAGAGATGGAGCAGTGTTGGGTTTCCACGTGACGGATGAAAGCGATCCTGTGCGAGAGCCCCGGGTGGGGCGAGCGCTGCCGTAAGCGCTCAGATATGTGGGAGTGTTTATGGAGAGCTCCGGGGTGGATTCATCTGCAGAGAGAACATCCTTCCTTTTCCCTGGCTCTGGGATGTGGGGATGGGCAAGCCCAGCTTGCCTGGAGGACACCTGCGCTGGGCTCCGGGGTGGAGGTTCTCCTCCCGCCTTTCATGACGTGCTTTCTCTTCTGTCCCTGCCTTCAAACAAACAACAAAAGGCTTTTTGGATTTTCCCTGCTGCTGCAGCTTCTTAATCTTCTAAATCTTATCGCATCTACTTTTAAGATAGCTGCCTCAGCACCCCCTCCAGGCTGCAATCTCAAATTCAGCTCCCGGCGCGGCTGGGCCAGGGGGGTTATTTTCTGATTAACTCTCTGGCTCTTTTTCTCTGCACCCGTCTCAAAGCAGTTTTAGCAATTTAAATTTGACTGTCTGGATTTGGAGAGCATTCCCCTGAATCCCTGCATGTCCAGCTGGGAGCTTGCCTTCTGCCCAGGGTTGTGACAGTGATGAGTGCTAAGACAAAAAAAAAAAATCTGTGTTTTAGCTTTGCCTATTCTTGTTTTGTCTCTGCATGAACGATATTTAATGTAGAGCGATGAATGTATGTCAGTTATTCTCCAGCTGTGTGAGAGAAACTGGATAAACTTGCTCAGTTTTGTTGTTCTTACTGATTTCAGACTGATTTTTTGAAAGGCAGCTCAAGTCCTCCAGCATCCTCTATGGGTTAACTTGGGTTCTGCCTTTTTTTTTTTTTTTTAAATCTTGCTCAGATATTATCCTTCTCCTTTTAACGTACACAAGTAGATAACAATTAGATGTGCTTCCTTTTAATGAGGGTCTGGGTCTTGGCACAGGCTTTACAAGGAGGTTAAGGAGATGAATAGCTGTGACAGGAACTTCTATAACAGGAAGACCATTAAAATATGTCTTATGTGAATAATACCAGCTTAGTGGACAAAATTACTTTTAAGAGCTCGTTAATTAAGACTAAAACCTCTTTGTACTTTTCTTAGATTTCTATGGTACTTGACAGTCAATTTGTTAATGCTTTGCAAAACAGGGTTTTCTGGCTTTTTTGTTTGTTTGTTTGTTTTGCTTTCTGGCTTTTTAGGAGAGAATGTACATAAAGTTGCAAAAAGTAATACCGAACAGATGGGTGTAATTGCATTTTGATCTAAGGATGATGCCCAAGAGGCTGTTTAAAATGTCAAAAGACTGGCCGAGCAATTACTGTGTAGTGACTAGATTAAGTTTTGGACTTCAAAACCATCAAGACAAATCCCTCAGGTTTTGGCTCAGTATTTAATTTATTTGCATTTTTTCACATTTAAGATGCCAACCAGGAAGAGCTGGAATTTTCTGGCAAGAGCAGCAGCTTCCTGCATAGTTTGATTGAGGCAGAAAAACTCAGCTAACAAATGCAGAGCACAAAATGAACTGTGTATGTGTTATTGTGGCAATCTGATTCATCAGGAGCCATCATCTGCTTCCAGTGCAGAGAGGATGGAACAGCAGGTTCACGCAAGCAGGGTGTTTTAGCAGGCTGAGAGCACAATATAAATCTAAAAGGGAGTGTTGGAAGTCAGGGCCAAACATTAATGGCAATACTTGATTGCTGCAGTTGGAGTGGATCGATGGAGAGGCTCGGAATTGGAAGGGTGATGAGGATACAGGCGCAGTGACTGCTCTGTGAGAACCCGCTCTGAGTTTCCTCTGTGTGTCTGTGCTGGGCTCCCCAGGCTGACAGCCTCCTCTTCCTGCTTGGACAAAGCTCCTCTGCTCCAAAGGCAGCTCCAGGTGCTGTCCTGGGAACATAATGCTCCCAAAAGCACTGTGACTTCCAGCCACACAGTGCTGATCACAGCAGGCTGCAGAAAAAGGTGAGGAACTGCTGTTTTGAGAGCACCCCCTGCTTTTGGGAGTGAGCTGGAGAATCACAGAATGGTTTGGGTTGGAAGAGTCCTTACTGATCATCCAGTTCCACTCCCCTGCCATGGGCAGGGAACCTTCCACTATGCCAGGTTGCTCCAAACCCTGTCCAACCTAGCCTTGGACACTTCCAGGGAAGGGGCAGCCACAGCTTCTCTGTGCCAGTGCCTCACCACCCTCACAGGAAATAAGTTCTTCCTAATACCTAATGTAGATCTACTCTCTTCCAGTTGCAGCCTATGAGGAATTTCCTGGGATAGAGCTGTCTGTGCCTGTTTGTGTTTGCAGTGACAAGTGTCCATCAGTCCATCAGAGAGGCTGTGCTGTGACTGCTGGAATCACTCCTGGAGCACCTCGGTGACGCTCCCCAGCCCGCCTGGATGGAGGTTTGGGGTTTGGGGCTGCCCATGGCAGCCCTGCTTGTGGGTCCCTGCAGGAATCAACACATAGCCAGTGTCCACAGCTGTTTAAATCAGGGCTAAACTGAACCTGGTTCATTGCACAAAGGGCTGTAAATCTGTTGGCTTAAACTGCTAAGAAATATCCTTATTGACCCAACTGATTTCTAGTAAGTGTTCTGGGTAAACAGCTCCCTCCCCTGCAGTCCCTAAAGCAGAGGGCAGTGCCTGTGGCACTTGTGGATTACTGTACAGTAAATCCTGTGCACTGTGCCAAGGAACTACTTTTAGGGCAGAGCACAGCAGTGCAGGAATGCTGAGATCCCATTTATAAATATGTCTGTCCCCTTTCCTTACCAACCAAAGCCAGGCAGCATTGTAATGTGGTGTTTTACTGCTGCAGGTGTGACTGTGCGGAATGGTTTTCATGGCACAACTCTGTTTATTAAGGGATCACACTTCTTCCATGGCACAGCTTCATTTTCAAGAGCACAGAAGTTTGTTCAGAGCAGACAGATGGCCTCAAATCAGCTTCTGCTGCAAATGACTACTTGAATCTTAGGTACAAGGCATGATTCAAACCTGACTGCTGGAGGTGCCAGGAAAATAAATGATAGCTGCCAGTGTTGCAGTCTGTTGCCCAGCTTATTCCCAAAATCAGACTCTTGCTACTGAGAGCTGACAGCAGGGTTCAGAGATGACAAATGATCAGAAAATAACACAGCCTGTGCAGGCCTTTGGTCTGATCCCTGTCCAAGCTTGAAGAGTGGCATCAGCCCTCTGCAAATGCTACTCTTTGGTCCTGGAAGATACAGGTCACGCACAGAATTTATGATTAAGTCCTCATTGTAAGAGCCTGAATCTTCAGCAAAGGATAATTATTTTAATTAGTTATCAGTGTGTTGTACTAGCTGTGGAGAGATACTTGCTTACCCTCCTCCCCTGAGAGCTGGTCTCTGAAGGTCCTGAGGAGGGTGAGGGGTAGTTGTGCCCCCAGGGTGAGGTGCAAAACTCAAAACCGTCTGACAGCATCCAGTGTGGGCCAGGAAAGTTAAAATACGTGGCAGGGCTTGGGCTAAAACTGTGTCAAGGGCTGTCTGATTTTCAGCTCAGTTTAATGATTCTGACTTTCTTCTAAACACTTAAGCATTTAGAAACTGGCTGTTTGCTTTTTTGTTAAGATGCAGCTAATGGATACAACAGCTCATTTCTGACCTTGGCCTAAAAGCTCCCATTGCCCAGCAGAGCCTTTGAAGCCCACCCCTTCCTTGCACTCCCTTATTTCTGTTTGTCAAATTTCCACTTTATTGAGCTTTTCTCTGCGCACACCTGGTTCCTCAGACACACAAAAATAAACCGAGTCGCACAAATTCCGTACCTCGTTTTACAAATTTCCTAACAAAATGCAACTCGGGCTTCCCTTTGATCACACCGGCCTCCCTTGGAACGAAAGAGCTATTTCCAGCAGTTCTTTGCCCAGCTCCTCGTGCCTTCCCCCGGCGCTGAAGTCTGCAGAGAGCTCCCTGAAGGTGACGCAGACCCGGCGGTGCTCGATGTGCTTGCGGTGGATCCCGTGCTTCCACTTGTACCGCGCGTCCCCCTGCAGCACCACCAGCGCCCTCCGGGGCAAGTGAACGGCGACAGTCACCTCCTTACTGGGAACCAGCCTCGAGGGCAGAACGGCCTCGGTTCCCTCCTCGCCCGAGTTTCTGTGCGCTGATGTTCGTGTAAGAGACCCGGGGGGGCTTAATTCCCCTCTGCTGAAAGCGGGCGATAATTGGATGGTGCCCTCTGAGTCACAGGACATGGAGAGCACAGTTTTGGAGAGCAAGTTTAAGCTGACCAGACGCTCCCCCCACAGCCACCAGTCATCAAAGTGGGGGTCTATGGCAGAACCCCTCTCTGGTGTGTAGTCCAGGTTACACTGTTCAACAGGCAAGAAACCACTGAGCACAGAGCAGGCCTCCATTTGTGCCACGATCTTCCTGCTGAAACTTGGCAAACCGGTAAAGCCGCCAGCTTTTAGCCTTTGCTTCTTGAAGTTCACTTTGGGTCCATAGTCCTGTTGGAAAAGAAGAGGCAGAGGGGGAAAAAGCTGGTGTAAAGGAAGAATCCAGGACAAGCCTTTTTGGAGAGGCTGTGGTCCCTACAGGACTCTGTTGTCACCTCTTCCTGGTCACCAGGTTTCAAAAGGACTCAGGGAATCTACATTTATCTCTCTGGAGTTAGATTTGTAAAGTAAAACCAAACCCACACACCCACTTCTTTCCCTTGGAGATTGTGTAAACTTTAATGCCTGGACATGCACCATCAAATACTGTTTGTTTTGACTGTCGTGTGTTTTTTGCAAGAAGCTGATTTTAACTACAGCTAATTCCCGCCACTGATTTCAGGAAAGGCTTTCAAAGGAAGACATTTAATGAAACACCTAAATATTTGGGGGTTTAACTGAAAACAGCTTTCCTTTTCCAGAGGCATCCAAGATCAAATGTGCTTCTAAAGTCCAACCTGCTTCTTTCGGCCAGACTGTGACGGTTTCCAGTCATCTCGATCCATCAGTTCCACTATCTCATACTCTTCATCTTCAGTAATGAACTCCTCCACCAGGAACACCCCTGGAAAGGGGAATGCCCAGCCAGCAAATTCCGAGTGCTCATTTCCTTTAGCTAGGCCTGTTGCTGGACAGTAAGTGAAATTATCTTCTCCCTGGAGAAATAACAATGGAGAAGGAAAAAAGCAATAAAGGCATTTCCATTTTTTTACCACTTGATATTGCAGCATGAAAACCGTACGGGATTCTTGCCAACAGGAGAAATTTTACAGCTGCTTTTGGGGAACAGCTATTCCCTGCTTTTTATTTTTTATTTTTTTCCCCACAAGATGCCTTGCTTGAAGTCACTTTTCCTTCCTAGTGATGTCTTTATTCTGCAAAGACAAGGGAAGGAGCGATGATCCTCGGGGCCACAGGTGCGAGGAGATTAATGGTGGGCATCGCTCAGGCCGGCTGCAGAGATATGGTTTGTCATAAGCAATAAATGTTGAATGAGGAAAGTTGATAAAAAAATCGCCCGGGCCACAGGGCTAAGCTGTAGGAAACGAGTGTGATGTGTGGAGCTCAGGTGAGCTCCCTCTCTGCTCCTGAGCGCATCCGGGGCGTTACGAGGGCGAAGAATCCACAGTGCCCCTGGGAGGGGGCTGTGCCTTGTCCCCACCAGACCCGCAGCTCCCGGGGACGCGGCCCCTCCCCGGGCAGGGGGGTCGCGGTCCCGCCTCCTTCCCCCCGCCCCGAGGGGCCCCGGCCCGCGCCCCCGCCGCCCCCGGCTCCTCCCGCCGCCCCGCCCCGCCGCCCGCCCTCTCCCCGGTACCTGCGGGGGCGGAGCGGCCGGCGCAGGCCCTCGCAGAGCAGGCAGGAGCGGATCCTTGCAGCCGCAGCCCGGCCCTCCGCCCGCCGCCCGCATCCCGCACCGAGCGCACGGCCCCTGCTCCTCCTCCTCTTCCTCCCGCCCTTCCTTCCTCCCTCCCTCCCTCCCTCCCTCCCTCCCCCGGCTGCTCTTCCTCCCGCCCGGCCGCTTCCAGGTGAGGGCAGCGGGGGCTGGGCGAAGGCCGCGCGGCCGGGATGGATGTGGTGGGTGGTGTGGATGGGGGGGCGCGGGCGGACTCGCGCTCCCAGCAGCCCCCGCGGCCCCGAGCAGTGGCGCGGGGCCCGGACGCGCCGCGAGGGACGCTGGGAGTTGTAGGCGCGGCGCACGCCCCGCGGGGGCGCCTCAGGCCGCGGCCGGCGCCGGCGCCGGCCCCGGGCGGCCCTTGGTGACCGCAGGCCGCGGGGACGGGCGTGGGCCCGGGGCTGGAGCCAAAGCGGCCCGGCCCGGCCCTGCCCGCGGGCGGAGCCGCGGCCTGCGCCCGCAGACAGTGCCCCGCGGCCGGGAGGCCGCCCCAAGGTGGGCGCACAGTCCGGCGTCCGCGGCCCCGCCGCCCCCGGGGCATCGCCCGCATCGCGCCCGGGGGGCCGCGCCGGGGTTGCGGGGCCGGGCAGGGCAGGCACAGCCGAGCACACGCAGCTCAGGGGGATGCCCCGCCGTGCGGCTCCGGCCCCAGCGCTGCTGAGGGGCAGTTCCCCATCAGCTCCCGGGGTGGCCGAGCGTCCCCTCCGCAGCATCCCTCGTGGTGCTGGGGGGATGGGGACATGCCATGCCCGGCCTCCCCTGCGGCTCAGCGGTGTCACAGCTGTGTCTGAGGTTTTGGTGTGGTCACAGAGAGGGCGATGGAGACATCCACAGCCACTGGTGTCACATTTACCTTAGCGCTTAGGGAGGTTTGGTAGGTTCAGCCTCACCCTGTGGTTTGGCTCTCGGCAACAGCTCTGTCACTTGAAGGATCAAATCCCAAACATCTGCTGTTTAAAACTGGTTTTCCATTCAGCCTTTTTGTGCTGGTATAAAATATTCCATACCTGAAGGACTGTCCTTACGTACAGGTGTTAACAAAGCAGTGCCTTGTTGCCCATCACACAGCATTCCAGGTGCTGTAGGTGTGTGGTGGTGCTGAAATGAAGCCCAAGGACAGCTCAGTGCCCCCTGTGTTCCCCAGGATGTGCTGGAATGGCATTTAGGCAGTGCTGATCTAACACTGAAAGACAGGAGCGAGCCTGGCCTTGGAGCTTTGTTAGCTTTTATTTCCCTCCCTTGGAATCTGTGTCAGGAAGAGTGGTAAGCCCTGAACCAGTAATTTCATGAAGCTCCTTTGGACTTGCCAGTGTTGTTATTCTAAATATCAGCGAATTGCTGTGTGTGCATGTCCTGTCCCATCCGCAGCAATGCATGGAAACATCTGGTAATTACCAACAGCACACAGAATGCTGTTGATATTTTTCTTCCTTGCTGAAGAACTAATGTTATTAATTGGTGGGTATTTTACATTTCTGCTAATTACTTCAGTTTTCAAAAATTTTAGGGGATTTTGGAGTTGTAAGCCAACAGCCTGTCTAGCTGGTCAGCCCAGTGAGTGCACTGTCATTTTCTTGAGAGGAAGGGGTTCACAGCAGGTGTATTTATTCTTTCTGTTGCTGTTTGTTTGAAAGCCTGTTGGAATTCCTGGAGCAGAGCCCAGGAGAGGCACAAACAGGTAACTGTGAGGCTGTCAAGGTCCTGAGGGCCATCTCCTGCAGCAAGTCTGTCGCTCTAACAGCCACAGGAGGGTACCCGTGTTGTTTTGGAGGTGGATTGGGTCAGCAGGTTGGGAGCCTGTGCCCAACCTAATAAGTCTCTGCTATTTTCATTTCAACCAAGTAAAAAGGCGACTTCCAACACAGCAGCAAAATCAACATGTAACCTCATAATGTTTTTTTCCCCCTTTTGGAGTCACTTGAAAGCATTTCCTCTTGTTCCTGTTTGTTTTTCCCAGAAGGTTACAAGAAGAGATCCTACAGTTGACTGATTAGTGATTCCAGGAGAGGGGTGGAGGTTAAAAATGTCAAAAATCACTACAGAACTTCTTTTGGAAAGAGCGGTTCCAAGATCTACGAGGCTCCGGAAGATCGAGACACTGAAGTAAGTGCAGGCAGGCCCGTGGAAAATTCCAGCTGAATTCAGCTTGGGCAGTCCTTTTTTTTTTTTCTTCCTTTTTATCTCCTAAGCGTTTTTACAAAAAAAAAAAAAAAAAAGAGAGGCAGTTCCAAAGCACAGAATTGAGATGGCATTCCCAGTGCAGGATCACAGAGCATTGGTGGCACTGTGTCCACTAGAGAGGTTATTGACAGTTGTCACCTTTTTTTGCCAACATGTTTGCTGCCACCTTCTTTCTGTGAAACTGGATCCTGATTTCCTAACCCCCAGATATCATCCCTACCCCCAAAACACTGCCATCTTTGTTAGCAATTGCTTAATGTGAACAAGAGAATTTTCTGGCCTGGATTATGGAGGGTTTTTAAAGTATTTTTGGCTTTATTTCCCTTCCATTTTCCTCTCCCTCCATCACTTTCTGTCTCCTCTAAATCCAATTATGTTGGTGCTTCAAACATTGCAGAAAGAGAGAATAAACTCTGAAACACTTAGAAACCACTAAAAACAGTTTTGTTGCTCGGATCCTTTACAGAGGTCATTGCAAATATGTGTTTTCCAAATGTTTAATGTAGTGGAATTTCACTGTTCCAGAGCTGGTCAATCTGAGTGACTCAGCTGACCAGTTCCTGGCTGGTGCCTTTGTTGTTTTTGATCCTGATGCAAAGGGTTTGAGTTTCACATGTACTCTTTAAAGTTATTTCTTTTGGTTTGTCTTGTGCTAAAATAATTATTTTTAGAGAGAAACTCAAAGGTTTATCTGAGGAATATCAGCTGCAGTAATCTGGGTAACAGAGTGATGGGGAGGTGCTTGAAGCAGTGGATTTCTGGAATGTGATGCTGAAGGATTATAAATCAGAAAGTTTGGGGGACAGTGTTGGATTTCTCCCCAGAATGACACCACAGTCAGACTCAGCTTTGCAGCCAGCTGAATTCTCAGCCTTTCTGACTGGCTGGTAAGACCTCTGAGATGCCAAGCGAAGGAGAAGGGACCTTGCTTCCTGGGTTTATTTGCCTCATTTATTCACACTTCATTTATATCAAGAAGCCTTTTTTTTACTGATCATTAGAGACAGGATTTCTGTTTGTTAAAGGAACTCAGGCTTGTGCCCTCAGGAGATGTTGGCTGCCAGGACTAGAAGCTCCCTTTGGAGCTCACCTAAATGATCTAACCAAATATAAATGACCCTGCTTATAACATCCAATTTTCAGTTTCTTACAGAAAAGGAATATTTCTTTTTCCCTCACAAATATTGTACCTCTTCCTTTTTCAGCACAATGCTTCTGTTTTGGTGGTCTTGTTAGGTAGATTCCCTTATTTGCCTTTGGAAGTTTTTGCAGCAAAATTCACTGCAGTAGAAATGGAAAAATCACTTTTTTGGTCAATTTAGTTCTTTGAAAACAGATTATTTGGGGGCCTGCTCTGCATTTGCCTTAACTGTGAAATAATAAATCTAGTGTATTTTATGGACAGGGTAGACTGATGTGGTAGTGAATAAGTGTCATGTATTGCTGCAGCTTGTTTTGTTGAATCACCATTGCAAAGGAATAAAATACCAAAACTCTTAGAGGTTTTTTTCTACAAAATAAGAATTTTCCTGGTGATTCACTGCTCCCAGCCATAGGGGATCATCTGAATTGCAGGTTAATTGTGCTGCATATACTCTGGCAGGCCTGAGCCTCTGATGGTGTCTGTGAGCTCAGACACATCGTCTTTCCCACATGTGTGTGCTCAGAGTCCAGAATGCAGCAGACAGGAAAAAGCAGGGGCCTTGTATCCTGTGAAATCAACTCTTGTTTTTCCAGTGAGCTGCAGATAGTTCACGTTATCTTTTTTTTTTCAGCCTGTCCAAGCTGCAGTTGAAGACTGGAGACTTAGACCCGCGGTTGTTTTCCCGGCTGAGGCACCTGCAGAAACTAGATCTCTCTGATAATTTACTGGACAAATTTCCCAACAGCCTAACTCTGCCTGATCTTCGTGTCCTGAACTGCAACAACAACCAGCTGGAAGATGTAACTGCTCTGAAACAGTTCCCTCTGCTCGAGGAGCTGACCTACGAGAACAATGTGTACTTGACAGTGAGTTACCCCCTCATCCTTACAAGCTCAGCAAACAAACAGCAGTTATGCTGAGTTCTTATATGTTGTTCTTGGGCAGCAAATGTTAGGGCATCTGAGAAAACAGCCAGTCTTTGTGTGCCCCTCCACCACTTTGTGCCACTCTTTACCAGTCTGCAGAAATTAGTTGCCCTAAACCACTCAGATATTCACGCCTGCATGTCTTGAACTCCTGTTTCTCCAAGTCAGAGTCCCATCTTAGGCAGTTTATCAGGCAGGGTATCTTATGTTTGTGCTTGTGTTAAGTAGAGTAATAACTGTGTAGAAATGTCCTCCTTGTAGAATCATGGAATCCCAGAATGGTTTGGGTTGGAAGGGACCTTAAGGATCATCTGGTTTCAGCCCCTCCATCAAGCAGGGACACCTTCCGCTATCCAAGGTTGCTCCAAGCAACCACTAAACTGGCCTTGAACACCTCCAGGGAAGGGACAGCCACAGGTTCTCTGGGCAACCTGTGCCAGGGCCTCACCCCCACACAGTGAAGAGTTTTTTCTTAATATCTAATGTTAGTTTTAGTGCCTCTTGCGCTCTGAAAGAGCAGACTTCGTCCTCTGATGAGGGTTTAAACTTGGTGATTAGTTCTAGTTTAGGTTTCTGACTTCTCCCAAGAGGCTCTGCTGCCTGTACAGGTTAAACATCCAAAACTGGAATTTTACTTGTGCTTTAAAGTGGTATCAGCCGCCGTCACCATCCACAGAGGCTTATTTGCTGTTGTATGCTGGCAGTGTGGCTGCATGGTGAACTGTCTGACCTAAAACACACCTGGCCCAAAGAATTCCTGCTGGAATTCATTTACTGGAGGCAGGACAGGCCTCACTGTGTTAAAGGATGGGAGCAGAACACCCTCCCTTGCACTCAGGCCGAGCAGATGAGCGGTTACACAGCCCCCACCTTGTGTTGGGTGTTAGTACTGCCTGGACGTTGGGCAGCTCTTTTGTCTGCAGTTTGAGATCCCAACTCACAGGAGAGCACAGATTCACAACTAAAAGGTGAAGTTCAAGTTGAGAATGCTGAAGAGATTTTAAGAAACGGCTTTTCCTTACTAGATATGTTCTTCTCATCATTGGCTGTATTTTCATCAAGAACTAAAGCTAAAGCAAGAACCATATGTACAGTTTTTGTAACTCTGGTGTCTTCTCTCCTTAGCTCAACGATGACTATAAGGTAATGTTTCTCTTGGAAAATCTTCGGCTGCTCAATGGCAAGGACATAACCAAACTGGCCAATCACGTGAGGCACGTCAATAGCCGTAAGCTCACCAGCAAGGTGAGATGTCTGATATTTCCTTAATCTCTGAACACCTGAGAAGTAACTAAAAACTGTGCTCGGTGTCACGGCAGAGCTGCAGACAAGCATCAAATGATTTGCAGTAACTGGGGTATGATCTGAGCCCAGCCCGCAGTTTGGGCCACCCAGGAAATGTCTTGCTGCTGCTTTCTCTGGTCCCTGCTCGCATTTGCTCTGCCTGTTTTGTGCAGCCAACTTTGCCTGTGGTTTAAGTGACAAGAGCAGGGCCAACCAGGTCTGTGTCTAGTTTTTCAGGTCACTCTGATCATCATTCAGGAACAGGAGAAGCCTGGTGCTGACAGAACAGCTACATGCACCTCCCTGCCTAATTTGTGTTACTGTCCAGGCCCCAGGAATGGGGAGCACAAAACCAAGCTCAGGATAGTCTTGCTTTCTCCAGCATACACCAGTAACAAGGATTTGTTGTTTCTTCTTCAGCTGTGCATGTTTGAAACTGTATTTTCACTCATTTGTGTACACAGCTGACAGACAGTCCCCCCAAAGCATGTCGTGATGTGGAGCAAAATTACTGCTCTGTTATGAAAAAGGTTTGGTTGGTTAGTTGTTTTTGTGCATTATTGCTCCTACCATTACTAGTCTAGTTAGTTCATCTTGTTAATTCTTTTTGTGTATCAGTGGGGGGGAGATCAAATACTGAAGACTGGCATGTCCTATTGTGCTGACTCTTGTCTGTGAAATACCTGTGTACTTACCAGGGACAGTGTAAGACTCCTTAAGGCTGTTTACTCTGGATCCAGAGGCAGGAAATCAGGCATTGCTCTGGGTCCAGTGCTGGCAGTGTCTGCTTAGCCACACTCACTTGAGCTTAGTTCAGAGGAACTGGTTTTTCTGTTAGATGAAGGCATGGTTTGAACACTGATTAAAAAAAAGAAAATGGAAGTGGTGCCCTCACATAGCTACCTCAGAGTTGGCACTTCTTAAATGCTTTCACAAGTACTCTTGTGCTTTTCTGCTCTGTTTTTTTCTGTTGAGTAAACTCAGTCTTTCTGCCTAGGTTACTGCTCACTGGGAAAAATTCTTCCGTGACCAACTTCCTGAGAAACACACAGCTGAGCAGGTGAAGTCCATCAGGAAGAAGTTCCTGAAGTCAGTGCAAACCAATGTAGTGTATGGACCCAGCTCCCTCAGTGAATTCACCCGCTGGCGGGTAGGTTGTGTCCCACTTACCCTTCTGTTCTTCAGGCAAGGACCCTGCTCCTGATTCTGAGTGGATTTGATTAAAATGCTCCATGGATTCGGGTGCAGGGCTCCTGCAGGCAGGTGGTGCCACTTTTTCTGGTTTTCTTCACTGCTTTATGAAGCAGTTACAGGAGCACTAGGGCTAAACATCCTCCAAGTTGTGATGACGGTCATTAAATATTGTTTTTTAATTCATAAGCAATAAAGGTAATTGTGCTAATTAACAAGACTGCAGTATCCTTAATACTTAATTATTTGCAAATTAGTTTAATGGCAACCTTTACTCTTGATGAAAGCTGTATGAAAGGAGAAAAGATAATGACAAGTGTAGTTACTCCCAGTGGGGAAAGATACCATTTAGTTTGTAACATTTGTTTTATTTGTATTTGCATACACACAATTGAGGCTTCCACCTCTCCTTTGCCTTGTCTCATTTCTGTGCTGTTGTTTTCACAACTGTGTATCCTGGATCCCCATAACAAAGCGAAGTTCTTGGGTCATGTAATGTCAACAGAGGACTTGGCCTGCCAGGCTCTGTCAACTGAGGACTCCTCCACCACTTGTGAAATTCATGTGGAGTAGTGGGAGCAGATATTAAAACCTTGGCAAAGCAGCTCTTGACACATTGGAGTTTGACTGCTCTTGATTTTTTTGTCTTTTTTTTTTTTTTCTTTTTAACATATTTCATGTTTGCTTCTAAGGTGAAAATGATTGCAGAAGAGTTTCTGTCATACTCACTGGGTCTGGAGCTAAACTCAGATACTGAACCAGAGGAAAAGGCAGAGGAGAATGAGGAAGAAAGTACAGAAAGCCCCAGGGAAGCTGCAGAGGACGTGGCTCAGGTAGGTGATTTTTCCAGTTACATTAACAATGTCCTTTCTGTGTCTTCCAAACTCAGTAGCTCTTGTCACTTTGCATTTATGACCCTTTGGTAACCACAGGGGCAGTCCCAGGCTCCAGCCTGTGTCCAACAGCTCAGGCTGATTCTCTACAGCCAGATTGAAGCTTTTCGAGCCATGTGAAGGTTGAGTTGCTCTCCAGGAAGAGAGAACTTTCATCCTCATAGGAGACCCAAAAGATTTCATGAATCCTACTGACTCCACCTCTCCTCTAGGAAGGGATATTTTTCATTAGAGAACTGGGCTGATGGCTGGCCAGACTCTGATGGGTTTTGCCTGCTTGGCAGCGGCTGCAGATTGAACTCCTGTGGCCCATGGGCCAGATTTGTTTTTCCATGTCATATGTAAATCACAAGTAACTGGGAGAGGGAGCTGAAAATGAGGCTGTCTGTGTGATTGTCATTAGCTTCTGCCTCTAGGAACCCTGCAGCTCTCGGCTGTCTGATTCTTGGAGTGCGGTCTGGGAGAGCACTTGCATTTGAATAATTAATATCTCTGATCTTAAAAATCACTGGAAGATCTCAGGAAAGCTAAAAACCTTCTGCAGAAACTGACAGCATGACAACATGTCTTACAGGTCACAGTAACACCCAGCAAGAGGAAAAGAAACCATTCAAAGTCAGGCACTGGAAACAAGAGGTCCAAGTCCCAGGCAAACACCGAGGAGGAGGCTGTAGTTAATCCCAGAAAGTCCAGTCATGTGCAGGATGACCCAGCTCCTGATAAACCAAGAACATCAAACCAGCCAGCCAAGGAGACAACTCCTGAGCAGGGAGCTGAAGGGACACAGAAGAATGGAGAGCAGTTTCCCAAGGGACAAAGCAACAGAAGATCCAGCCAGATGACCGGGGAACAGAAAAGCCAGGAGCAGGACAATGGAGTTGTTACTTTGACTCCAGTGAAGAACTCCAAGCGCAAGGTAGGTCCACCAGCCCCCTGGGGACTGGCTTTTGGCCTCTTGGTGTAGTGGGAGGAGCTGCATTCAGGTTTCATCAGAGCTCTGCACAGCTTGGAGCTCACAGATATACTGCGAGTTAAAGTTTTGGTTTGGTTTTTTTTTGTCATTGTTTTAAATCCCTCAGAGGCGTCAGGGAAGGAAAGGGACACCCCCAGGAGACAGTGAATCCCCTTCAGGGGATGGATGGACCAGCGCTCCAAGGTGGTGCTCTGAAAGCCTGTGCTTAGAAATGGGACTGGCAGGCCTTGCTCTCAGTCACACCGATGGCTGCTCGGGGAAAGGTGTTTCCCCCTCAGCTCTGGCCAGTGGGGATCTAAAGGGTTTCTCCCATTTCTCTGCAGCAGGATGGGGTTCACTGCTTGGGTCTGCTGGGCACATCTGAACAGTTGTCTGCTGGTTTAGGAGTCTTGAGCACTGCTGGCACCTCAGCTTCTCCTGTGTCCTTCAGTTTAACTCAGATTGCTGTGTTCAGTAGAGGGTTCTGTCAAGGCAATCACAGGCAAACCGCTGTCAGGGGAATGAATTGTCTAAATGTGGATGGTTTATTGTAGGAGGATGTCAGTGCAGAGCCATTGCATTTTCTTCAGTGTCACAGTAAAGGCAACAGCCGCGAGGATTTTAAAACGCAGCTCTGGTCCTGTGTCTTCGAGCCAGTGCTAGACTCTGGAGCCAGGAAAGGTGAGCTCTTAAAGAGGTTTGCAGGATTCCCAGAACCACCCGGCTCTGGAATCCCGGCGGACTCCATGCGTTAGACCCCTGCTCCTTCGAGCCGTAGTCTCCGTTGTCAGGAAGAGACTTGCTTACGTATTTCTTCTTTGACTTTGAGAACAGGAGGCTGGGAGAGCACCAGGCAGTGATAAGCTGCAGTCTTCATGTGTTATCCCTGAGCCTGGGAACTTCTCACCCATTTTTTTCCCTCTTTCAGATCCCATTGTGAGCTCCTCCAGAACTGTGGCAACCTGTGGAGGGGAGTCTGTTTGTCTGATTGATTGTGAGACAGGGACGGTGCTGAAAAAGTATAAGGTGGCTACAGAGGTGGGTTGCAAGTGGGAAGGGTAAGCATTGAGTGGGAATGCCATAATCCGTAATACTTACATACATGTATGCACAATACATATTACAAAGAGGTCTGAAAGGGTGTCAGGCATTAGCGTGGGCAGTCTTAAATGGATGAAGATACGTAATAAATATTTCTTGCTTATCCTTTTAACCTGGTTTGGGTTTATACTTTTATTAGTTTAAAAGATTAATCTGCCTCTCCCCTCACAGGTGTATCTGGCTGCTAAGCCTGCTTGACAGCATAGAGGAATAAACATCCTGTTTTCTGTAGTTTGTGTTCTTCTGAGGGTTGTTTTGAGTTTTGGTGCTCCATCGTAAATAGTGGTGTCGTTTCACCTGAGTAGCACTTGTGATAGTTGTCTTATCTCTGAGCTAACAGCTGTCCTGCTGTTCGCTGTCACTCTATTCCTGGTCTCTTTCTGTCCCAGGAGTTCTTCAGCGTTGCATGGACGACCCTCACAATGGTGATCAGCGACAGTCGGAAGAAAGCTCACAATATCTTGGCAGCTGCTGGGAGGAGAGGGATTGTCAAACTGATCCATGTGGCAGCCGACTTCTGCTACGGAGAGATAAAGGCTCACAAAAAGCCCATTGCTACTGTCTGCTTCAGCCCAACCCAAGAAACCCACCTCTTCAGTAAGTCTCTACTTCAGAACCTCTTTAGCTTTAGTAATAATGTGGAGAATTCAAGGCTTCCTTAACGAGGGGAGTTGTCACCAGGGCAGGCAGGGACACACACACAAAAAGTACGGACAGGCGTGAGCGAGAGACCACTGTTAGTCTCCTGTGGCAGCAGTTTACAGCAGGACAGATTGTTTCTGCCAGGACCTGGCCCTTCAGCTGAGGTGCAGCAGCTCCTCTTTCTCCCTCAGTGGCTGTCAGGGTGGCTGGCACACACATGAGCCACAAACAAGGCCAGCAGTGGATCCGTTCCACAGGGATGAGTAAGAAGAATGACAGGCAGAGCAGGCAGCTGGGGGCAGGCAGTGGCAGGGCTCTCCTTGAGCACAGCAGGGTATTATGGGCTTTGGGTTTCATTTTTCCCAACAAGCACAACTATGTGCTTAATTGATTTTGAATAAATGATTTTTTTTTTCTTTTTTTTGAGTTCTGTGCCTCATCAGAGATTTTTATTCAGGTCCTGATGTCAAAGAGAGCTTTGCCACACACAGTGGGGCCCACAAAGGCTGTGGCTTATGAACTGGTAATGGACCATCATATTACAAATTGCAGCTGCATTGTCAAGCTGTACAGTGAGCTGGTACAGAGCCATTCAGGCCACACCTGCACCCCACAGCACATTGTTTCTCTGGCCTACAATTACCCACATCCTGGAGTGGTTAGAGTGCTACATGAACCATTAAAAGTGGAATTTTTTTAGAAAAGGGGATTCTTTACCAGAAACAGCTCAAGAGTGCCAAAAGCAGAAGAAGGGATAAGAAGGGTTGATAGCACATCCATATAATGATGTGGGCAGCAAGGCTCATTATATTGCCTAGAAAAAGAGTAATAAAGGGAGAGTCTTTGGAGACTGGACACCAACAGACTCTGAGTTTGAGAGGTGTCATCTGATGGGGACCCAGATCACGCTGAGTAATCTATTAGGATTGTTTCTGATATCAATAAATCAGCATGGTGACACATTTCACATCACTGCTTAACTTTCCCAATGGAAGCTGCTCTGGATGTGAACACAGTAAGCCAGGGATATGTGGAATAAAACAGTGTCTGCCTGGGAGTAGAGGATGGAGCTCGTATTTTAGGTCTCACCAGAACCCCTGAGCAGAAACAAGCTTAGAGGACCACTAATAAACGACTTGGTGAAGCCACAACTCAGTAATGGACAGAAAAGCAGGAAAGAAACTTTGCTTTATGTGCCCCTCTTAGAGCACAGGATAAGAACACAAAGTACTGACTGTGCATGCCTGACAGTGTCTGTGGAGTGGTGTGGGGCCAATGTGGTGACTGCTGCTGTGCTGTAATGAGCTCTCTGGTGCCACAGCCTTAGGGTGTTACAGCCTGTGACTCAGGTAGAATTGCCAGCTTAGCTCGAGAAGAGCCAGATGAGCAGCGGTGTCACTACCTGCTTCTCTTCTGTGTCCCACAGCTGCATCCTATGACAAGCGAATTGCACTCTGGGATATTGGGATTCCAGACTGTGACTACAATTTCAAAGCAAGGTAAAGGTTCAAAAACCAGATGTGGCCAGTCCAGGAGCCTGTAACTACCACGTCGCAGCACCACTTAACTGCTTGTTCTCTTCTGTTTTTTAGCCAGCTGCTGGTGCTGGAAGCAGCCTCTATTCCCTTACGGATTGCCCTGGTCCCCACCTGCCCGGAGCAGTACCTGCTGGCAGGCTGTGAAGATGGCTGCTTTGCCTGGAACATAAAACTGGATAAAGGAGAAAAAAGCAGGTGAGAACCAAAAGCTGGGGCTGTGAATTTGCTTTCCATAACAAGAAGAGGTAGTGCCAGCAAAGGTTTGATTTCTAACTGAGGAGGTCTGAGCAAAAGCAGCATGTCCTTCCAAACTTAAAACACCCTCCCCTTCCCGCAGTGGCCAGGAAAAATAAGAATATTTGCTAAAGGAGTGTTCAGAGCTTGCAGCCCTGTGCTTGTGTTAAAGCTCCAGGCTGCTTTGCAGGAAGGCTGGCAGGAGTGTAATCCAATACCCCAAAACTTTAAGGGTGTGTCATCTCAAAGTAGTGTAACAGAGTGTAAATTCTTGGATCGATTTCTAGTCTCACAGTGAAGCCTTCCCTGCTCCTGCTACGTGAGGTAACCCAGGAAACTGGCACTCAGTGGGAACTCACCAAAAAAATTACAAGAAAGAAGCAAGTAAAGTCATGCCCTGGTGGCAAATACTAATCTTGACGCCTGCAAAAAGAGATGAAGTGAAACAGCAATCTCTTAAGCAAATGGGCTTCTGCTTTCAATAAACCAATACTTAAAAAGTGTAAGTGCAAGTGGGAATTCATCTGAGCTTGGCAAGAGACTCACTAACACACAAATTTCCTTCTGGGCTCTCTACCTGGTGCCCTTCTACTGCTGCCTGTTCAGGACTTGGCTCATTTCACCCTTCCCCCCTGCTCTAGGCCTTTCGAAGCCATATTCCAGTTTCCTGATGATGAAAGCATGACAACGTCTCACAGGGTGGATGGTCTGGCTTTTCTGAATGACGATGTCGTCGGTGAGTATAAACAACAGCCCAGTCCCAAAAACAGTGGGGCACCTCAGCATGGGCAGGGTGAAGCCAGAATGATGAGCAGAGGTTGACTGCCTCTTGAGCTTTCTGGGGGCTACACAGAACGGGATTTTCTCCCAGAGTCATTTATCTTTCCCAAAAATATGTCTGGGCAAGACTGTAAATCAGATAGACCCATCCCCAAGAGCATGCTTGGCCAAGCAGTGCCACTGTGGAAGGAAGGAGAGCTCCTTTCTGCTCGGGAACTGGTGGGAGCAGTGTTTTCTGCAGGGGAACTGGAGGTTCCACATCATGGGCTGGGTCTTGTTGAATAGCTTATGCTTGTTCTGCAGTTCAGGAACATAAGTGTACCCCTGAAAATCTCTCTGCAGCCTCCAATTGTCCTGAAATGAGGTAAAGCAGAGGTGGAAAGTTGCTGCTGGATCAGGTCCCAGGTCTTAAAAGCCGTGTTCTGGACAGACCACGTTCACCAGAGCCCAGCCTTTGTCTGGAGGCATTTCACTTCCCAGCAGCTGACACAGCCTCTCTTGTCTTTCTTCCTTAGTTTCCAAGAGCTCCAAACCAGGATGCATTTACCTGTGGAGCTGGAGCCGGTCCTTTGACGCCAAGGGGAAGGGATGCCAGCGGACAATGTCTGCAGTTATCCTGGCTGAGCTGGATTGGTCCACGACAGACATGTCCTACCTGACGCTCAGCACCTGCCCAGGTAGGCAGCAGTGGTCCCCAGGGCAAAGGTGTGCTCTGTGTGCCAGGGGTGTGGGGCTCCCCTTTGGCCCATCAGAGGCAGAGGCCTGGATTTCAGAGCCCACCAGAGAACGTCAGGGCTGCCTCCTGCAAGCACTGCAGTGCAGCTCCAGCACTGCGCAGCCTCAGCCCCGCACCCGCTGGGTATAAATAATACAAGTGATAAATAATTGCAGCTGCACCATCTGCCCTGCAAGGGGGTTTAGCCGAGGCTCCGTGGTCTTTCTTGTACAGGTTTTCAAAGCACAGAGCTGAGGGCTGGGCCCTGTAGCCGTGGTGGAGACATTTTGATGCTGAGTGCATCTGAAGCCAGGGGCAGGAGGAATGCCACACACCAGGCAGCTGGCTCTGGAGGCTGGCAAGGAACAGACAAACCTCACCTGGTCATCACTTTTAAAAAACCAGTCTAAAAAAAGTGAGGAGAAATCCCAAAGTCATTAGCACTACTTTTTCCACACTAGAGTAAGATAGCTGACTTATCTTTAAATGAATTGAGTTCTTTCAGAGCAAGGTAGATCCGTATTTTTGTGCTGGAAAGGGAATTCTGCTGAAATATGGCACCTTCCCTTGGGACCCCACAGCACTGCCTGGAGCTCTGCTTTGCAGCAGAACGGACTCCCAGTTCCACAGTCGTTTTCCAGGTTTTTCTTTTGCTCTCACAGCAAAAGGCTACGTGTTCTGTGGTGACGAGAAGGGCAGCGTGTGGATGTACAACCTCTCCAGCTACACCGCGGCCTGGGGCTCTCCCAAGGGAAAGCGCTCGGAGCGGAGGATCTCTCCTGCACAGGTAGGTCTCAGGTACCCTTTGGGGCCTCCCTTCTGCTCCAGGGCAGCTGATCCCAGTCTCCAGAGGAGGTTTATCCCAGAACATGCCTCATGTTTCCACATCCGACACTCAAAGGCAATCTCCATGGCACTCACAGCTGGGAGGAGCTGCAAAGCAAGTCTGTCAGCTCCTGCATGGTGCAGCTGGGCAGCTCTTCCCAGAAGGACCCTAAAATTCTGGTGGTTAAACTGGAGAGCCCCACAACACAAAGAGTGCAGGCACCGTGTCCCTGAGAGGCTGAGGGGAGGGAGTCCAGAGAAGGGAAGGGCTCACTGCTTTCCTGTGTTCACATACGCATTTCCTACTCAGTATTTCCCTGGCTTTTGGAGGCAGATCTCCCTTACGAAGCCTCTGAAAGGACAATCAACACACACTCAAAGGCTTTCACTCACTGGTCTGGAGCTACATTAGATATAGGTATGAAGGGACTCAGAGTTCCATTAATTTCTTCACCGAAAGGGTTGTTAAACACTGGAATGAACTACCCAGGGAGGCAGTGGAGTCCTCATGCCTGGAGGTGCTCAGGGAACAACTGGATGTGGCACTCAGTGGTTGCCAAGGTGGTGATGGGTTAAAGGTCAGACTCTGTGACCTTGGAGGTCTTTTCCAAGCTAAATGATTCTATGATTCCATAAGGTTTTTGGAACTGTAATTGCCAACACCTTTCTCCTTCCCGCTCAAGCCCCTCCACACTAAACTTTGGCCCCTCAGGAGCATCCCAAAGCTTCACCCCACCTCAGAAAGAGGGGGAAGAGTCTCTGACTCAGCTTCCCCAGAAGAGACCCCGCTGTCCTGAACACCCTCCCCCTCAGCCACACCACCCCCACCGCGCTCTGTTCTCCCCCCACAGATCCTGCAGTGGCCGGAGCTCCACGTGAACGGGGAGCAGCTCCCCGAGATCCTGGTGAACAACGTGGTGTCAGACCCTGCCTTCACCTACCTTGTTGTGCTGACCAGTGTGAACATAACAGCCATCTGGAAGAAGTCATAGTCCCCTGTGCCAGTCTCACCCCTGTGCTTTGAACTAGTGCAGTATTAGTGACTGTTACCCATGTGCCCATGAACGTTTTCTAGACCAGCCATTATGTGCAAGGTTAAAAACTAACAGAGGTGAGGGTTTGTTAAACTCGTTAAATCATTGTAAACATCCGGTTTCTTTTACTGTAAGTTTTCACAATTTGTGCATTTGTTTTATAGAAATGACACTTAATAAAACAAAATACCAGTTCACTTGGCCGTGCCTGGAGTTTTTGACAGGAACAGCACAAAGTTCATCTGCTGCTCTCACTGAGCAGCTTCTCATGCTGGAATTACACCCACAATACCCTCCCCAACAACCCAGGACAAATATTTGCCTTAAGGCTCCAATCAGAAAAGTAAAAAATCACTTTTAATGACTTATCCATCAGATCCAACAAGACATTTATCCTCTTGGCAAAGTGTCTGTCTGGTATTAAAAAAACAAACAACAAACTCAAAGTATCACTGCTGCTGTCAAATATTAAACAAGTAGGACAAGGGGGGAAATATTTGCCACGAATGGAGGTTTAAATATATCATCCAACTAAGAGACACATCATTCTGCCTCAGAAGCACAGTCTCCTCCATAGGGGGGATTTTACTCGATTCCTTCTTGTTTATCCTTAATAGCAACCTGTAAAAGCACAAGCAAAAATACAAGAGCTGTTACTGAGCTGGAAGAGGTGTTGAAACATCCCTGGCTTTTCTGAGATACACAAGAACCACCAGTGGAAACCTGTACACCATCCAGAAAATTAATACTGAAATTAAACTCAAAACTTATGTACAAATTTTAGATTCAAAACCCATTCCAGGATGGCTTGAATTAATTTAGAGACCTAAACCAGCAGCTCCAAGACACGCTGCTCACCCCTCTCATTAATTATAAACAGTTTTAAGGGTAAATAAACTCACCCTGAACCTCTCCTCCAGCAGGGAGAGCTCGCTGATGAGATCCGTGATGGCATTAGTGAAAGCCTCCTGGGGGCTGTAATCGGGGGTGGTCTGCACACGGATGATGATTTTATGCTCCAGAGGGTGAGGCACCTTGTACCCCGCGAACAGCACCTGCGGGTCTTTGAGCAACTGCCTGGAATTGGAAAAAAAAAGTAAAACAAACAAGGAAATTCGGGGGGAAAAAAAAAAAAAAAGCCTCAAAACACGCCCCGCCGGCTTTGGACTTACGACTTGATGATGTTCCCCAGCGTGTGGTCCTCCTTGTTGATGGTGAACAAGCAGGCGTTGGGCACCTTGGTGTCCTTGTTGATAGTGATCCTGGGGGATAAATTAATGGGATAAATTAATGGGATACAGGGGGTGTTACCGATCCATGCGGGCCAGGCAACCGCGGGGGACTGGGGGGGAAGGCCCGGGCTCCCCGTCCGGGGAGCCCGGGCCTTCCCAGCCCCGCGGTTTGATTAAGGGCTAATTAGGGTGTCCCCTCACTTTTTCTCGCCCTCGAAGAGGAGGAAGGACTCGAAGGCTGGAGGCGCGTTCATCCCGCCGCCGCTCCGCCCTCAGCCGCTAATGGCGGCCGCGGCCTTCGCCTCACAGCGCCCCCCCGCGGGCGGGAGGACTCGGCGATGCCACCACAGGCAGGGCCACCAGAGATGTCACCGGTGCCACCATCAACAGCCCCCCCCTCCCCCAAGGGTCCCACCAGAAGGACAGGACGAAGCTGCAGGGTACAAAGTGCCTTTATTTCACCGCCGCGGTCCCCAAGCGGTGGGGAATCCCAGCGTGGGGGGGGTAGGGGGTCGCCTCACGTCTGCAGCTGCAGCAGGACAGGGGCTGGGGGCTCGGGGGGCTGCGCCTGGCGGTGACAGCTCTCCAGGTCCCCCAGCACCCCGAAGAGCCGGCTCAGCCCCTCGGGCAGGGGGGCATCTGTGGGAAAGGGGAGCAACAGTGAGACCCCACAGCCCCCTCCCCCGGGAGACAACCCCAAACCACCACCACCACCCACCCCTCTCCGTGACCCCTGGGGACATGGCTCAACCAGAGCACCCCCAGAATCCCTCAAGCCAACTTACCCTCCCCCCGGGGGCCATTCTGGGCGTCCTCCGGCTCCTGCAGCTCCCAGTACTTTTCCCTGTGGAGAGGGGGATGAGAGGATGGGCCCTTGGCAGGAGCATGAGGGGGATGCTGGGTGTCCCCGCGGGAAAGGGACTCACCTGAGGGTCCCCCGGAGGCCCTGGAGGTGGTGGAAGAGCCGCTGAGCCTCCACTGTGGGGTCCAGGGGGTCGCTCCAGTCCTGCAGGGTGACGCCGTGCCGGGTCCGGTCGCACCCCAGCCCTGCGGGGCAGCAGGGTCAGCACACGGGGGGGACGCCCCCCAAACCCCCCTGATGGCGTCCCGGGCCCCCTCCCCGTACCTGTCCTGTCCCGCTGGTGGCAGCAGCTCCACTTGTCCCCGCGGAAGACGCCGGGGTGGTACGAGCGCAGCACACGGGGGTTGTTCCCGCACACCTTGCGCAGAGCCGACAGCCACTGGTTCAGCTCGTTGACACACTGCGGGGTTGGGGACAGTGAGGGGGACAAACCTCCCCCCCCTCCCGGGCTGTGACACCCCTCGGGGCGCCCCCGCGCTGTCCCCCACCTTGCACTGCAGGTAGGCTGTCTCCTGCTGCCCGCCCGTGTCTGTGTAGACAACCTGCATGACGTGGGAGCTCCCGAAGCTCTTCTCCTCCACCTTCTCGGCCGCGAGGATGTCGGACAGGGCGATGGCACCGAGGCGCTGGTGCAGGGGACACACACACACAGGGGGTCAGTGCCACCCTGCTGCCACCCCTCCAGCCCCCAGCACCCCCCTACCTCTGCACTGGGGCTCTTGCCGAAGCTGAGGGACTCCCCGGTGAGGCAGAAGTGGAGTTTCTTGCCGGCGGCGGCGCCGAGAAGAGGCCCCTTGCCCCGCGTCTTGTGCACGAAGAGCAGCCCCTCCTTCACCACGGCCGTGGGGGGGCCCAGCGGCCACCCCTCGCCCCCCTCCTCCCCCTTGTCCTCCTCCGTGCCCACCAGGCGGGTGATGAAGTCCTTCATGCGGGCGATGCCCTGCTGCAGGGCGGGCAGCAGCGGGGACAGCCACGTCTCCTTGGCCCGCCCGGCAGCCGGCTCCATGTTGCCCACCATCTGGACGGCCTGGAGACCCCCGGGGACGGCGGTGTCAGCCCCCAGAAGGCGCAGCCGTCCCGCATGGGAAGCAGCCAGGCACCCCAAAGCCCCTCCCCGGGCGCCACCCCTTGTCCCCTGGTGTCCCCACCTTGGCCAGCAGCAGCAGCGTGCGGCTGGTCCGCGCGTCCGCGTGTGTCTCCCGCAGCTGGAACAGCTTGGGGGTCATGACGGCCGGCGAGAAGAAGCGCAGGCAGAGGAAGCTGGTGACGGCCACGAATTTGGCGTGCTGTGACCACCGAGATGAAGGGGCGGGGGGGGAAGACATGTGGGGGTCTGTCCCAAAACGAGACATCCCCAGGCAGTGATGCGCCAGCACCCAGGGCTGTTGTTTGGGTGCAAGCATGGCCCCCCTCGCTGTCCCCCTGCCCTCATGCCCAAGGGGGGACCCCATCAACCAAAGCTGGGGACTGCACCCCCAGTGAGCCCCAGGGATGCCCCTGTTTGACCTCCCTGCCCCAGCCTGACCTGGTGCTGGGGGAAGCGCTCCCCGACGCGCTGGAAGAGCTGCCGGAAGGCAGCGCGGATGACAGGGGGACACGCCGGGGCCGACCTGGCGATGGCGTCCAGCAGCTCACCCAGGTAGGACTGGAGGTGCTGGCGACCCTGCTCGATCACCTCACCCTCTGTCTGCACCCGGTGCAGCCCCGAGCACCTGCGGGCACCGTCATTGTCACCCCCCTGGCTGGGGACACCCTGTCCCACCTCCCCAACAGTCCCTTACCCGACGTCTTTGATCTCCACCTTGCCGGGGTCCAGCTCCACGTACTTCTTCTCCTCGAACACGCGGGCGATGGTGGGTCCCAGGACAGAGTGCAGGTATGGCATCCCTGTCACCTGCCAGGGGACAGCCCAGGGGACAGTGATGGGCCACAGGGCTGGCACAAGACACCTCCAGGGTCACCCAGGGGATTTTCTACAGCCTCCCAGCCCCAGGGGAAGACACAGCTCCACCAGCACTCCCAGTCCTTCCCCTGGGAACTGGACTCTTGGGGACATCCCAGAGCCAGGTCTTAGGAAGTGTGGCACCTTGAGGAAGGACTCCATCGACTTCGAGGCCAGGGAGTTGCTCCGGAACAAAGTGTTGGGCTCACCTGCAAAACAAGAGAGGCTCCATGGCCTGGGGGATGGACACAGGTCACCCACCAGGCAGCTTCAACCATGGGGGCATTCCCAGGGGCTGTCCCCTCCAACCCTGACCATTTCCATGAAGGTGACAGGAATTTCCAAACCTCAGACCACCTACTCCTCCACCAAACTCAGCTCAGGAGTTGCTGGGGTGAACCCAGCAGATTCCTACACAAAGAACAGTGTGATGGCTGAACCTCAACCATCACCCCAAATAATTCCCCACACAAGGTCCTGGAGGTTTTGCAGCCCCAGCAGATAGTTGGAAGCCTCCAACTCCACTTCCCACTTACAGGGCTTGGCCAGCTCCAGCTCAAAGAGCAGGTCCAGGAACTCCTTGACCAGCCCTTGGCCCAGGAAGAGTTTGACCAAGTTGACAGCGACCTCCTGCCGGCACTCGGCCGTGGTGGTTTCATCCAGGAGGGTGACCAGGTGCACTTGGCCGTCCTGGAGGGGAGAGGCACCGTGGTGTGATATGGCCTGAGTCGGGCACAGAGCCGGGGAAAGGTGGGTGCTCCAGCAGGGCTTGGCAGGAACCCCTCACCTGGCGCCCCGACTTCACCTCCTGGCACAGGAGCTGGACCAGGGGCTGGTAGCAGTGGGAGGGCAGCACCGTCTCATCCCGCAGCCTCACCTGCAGCTGCAGCGAGCCCAGGCTGCCCCGGCGCCTGCAGGAGCACAGGGTGGGTGGGGGACTGGAGGAAGTACTTCACCAAGCAGGAGGTGGCTCAACAGCCTGAGAAAGCCTGGGCAGGCAGGTGGAGGAGCTGCTCCTCCAGAGGGATGATGTTACCCAGGAATAACCCACTTCCCAACACTCCTGTGGTCACTGGAATCACCCCCAGCACACCCCAGTGCCTCTGTGCCAACACTCACTCATTCTCCATCGGCTTGGACTTGTCTGGCCGCAGCCTGAAC